TCGAATCCCCTTCTGAAAAGCTTTTAGCTTTTTATTGTCGTTCGATCAAACGGATTAAGTCTTGTCTTGAAGTCCTATGATGATCTAGAACTCTTTCCTAGAGATCTTTAACTGATCTTTAGCTCATCTTTAGGCTTATCTTCAGGCTTATCTTCAAGCTCATCTTCAAGCTCATCTTCAAGCTCATCTTCAGGCTCATCTTCAGCCCATCTTCAAGCTCATCTTCAGCTCATCTTCAAGCTCATCTTCAGGCTGATCTTTAGGCTCACCTTCAGGCTCATCTTCAAACTCATCTTCAAGCTCATCTTCAAGCTCATCTTCAAGCTCATCTTCAGGCTCATCTTCAAGCTCATCTTTAGGCTCACCTTCAGGCTCATCTTCAGGCTCACCTTCAGGCTCATCTTCAGGCTCATCTTCAGCTCATCTTCAAGCTCATCTTTAGGCTCATCTTCAGATGATAGCTTTGGCTCTTTAAAGTATTTTGAAACTACTAGTATCTTGTAAAACTGATTAACAAAACTTGATCAATACTTTTAAAAGAATCCATAGACTTTTCTTTGTACTTTTTGAAGACTGATAAACTCTCGTGGATTTACGATTAGAAACAATGACTTAACGCTCTCTGGAGAAAAGGGAATCCAGTGCGTTGTGGTGTAATGCTTAGCACAGTAGCCGGATAAGGGAAAGTTCGGAGGATCGAGTCCCAGCGGCGCTCAAGTTTTTGTTCTGCCCTAGTTCCAACCAATCAAGTTCTTGCTCAATTTTCTTGGAAGTAAAATCTGAAATAGCTGTAAACCTTCTCTATTAGAAGGCTTTAGAAATAAAGGAAATTGTTTTTTGAAGAGTTTTTTGTAAGTCAGGGTTTTGCGACGATTGTACGTCGAAAATTTCGAATTTCTGGTAAAGCTAGAATCCAGAATTAACATCTAAAAGTGGGAAAAGCCATGGAAAAATGTGTATGAATCTAATTTATCCCTAAAAGATTAGGAAAAGGTGACGGATGAGTGTTGAGTGGTAGGAGACAGCTCTTCAGGCTCTCCTGACCATCACATAGACCGGTCTGCTCAAGTCTTGCTTCTTCTTTCTTCTTTCTTCTTTCTTCTTTCTTCTTCTTTCTTCTTCTTTCTTTCTTTCTTCTTTCTTCTTTCTTCTTTCTTCTTTCTGAGATCGACTCTTTCACCCTGTTTTCTCAACGACTGGATCACAGGGTTCTTTTCCATACCTTCTTTTTCATCTTTTCAAAACCACAAATCTTTTTTGATGCTATTGGTATTGATTGTCAGATCTTCTTTTTATACTTTTCTTTTTGAATTTGATTTCTTTCTTTCTTTCTTTTGATAGATTCGTTTTTAGATACTTATTGCTAAAGTTATTCTAATAAAAGTACATTTTCTGTACATAAAAGTACATTTGAATAAAAAAACTATAGATTTACATAAACTTTTCACTTATTTAGTTTAAACAAAATGCATAGCAATTGATCCAAAAAAAACCTGGATACAAATAACGTACAAATTTCTGCGACTAAATCTTATTTGTGAGCGATTCAAAGGGAAAACAAAGTGTTCTTTGTGCGTTCTTTGTACGTGATTTCCTCACGATCGTTTAGTCAAATCATGCTCTTTTTATTGTCATTTAAAATGCATGAAATTCGTATATGAAATTCGTATATGAAATTCAAATTTCTCACTTGAAATTCTTGAAAAATCGTCCCATAAAAGCCGTTTATATGTCGTAGCCGATGAAGGATTTCAGCCGAAGAAGTCTCAAGCTTCTTCGGCTAACCGGTGAAGTCTCAAGCTTCTTCGGCTAGTCGATTAAGTCTCAAGCTTCTTCGGCTAGCCGGTGAAGTCTCAAGCTTCTTCGGCTAGTCGATTAAGTCTCAAGCTTCTTCGGCTAGCCGGTGAAGTCTCAAGCTTCTTCGGCTAGTCGATTAAGTCTCAAGCTTCTTCGGCTAACCGGTGAAGTCTCAAGCTTCTTCGGCTAGCCGGTGAAGTCCCAAGCTTCTTCGGTTGAAATCCTTCATCGGCTACGACATATAAATCTTGTAACTTTTGGTGTCTCTTTCATTTGAGAATTAAAGTAGTTATTACCAGTTGTTACCACAATTTTTGAGACCTTCAAGAGCATTTCTTCTTGTTTTACCTAAAGCTCAACAAATCAAAAGTGATTTACGATCACCATATTTGATTTGATTTCATCTTTTCATTCATTCCTTTTCCCCTTTCTCCATCTCCATTTTGCCGAGATTATCGTTTTCCTTGATTTCCTTGATTTCCTTGATTTCCTTGATTTCCTTGATTTCCTTGATTTCCTTGATTTCCTTGATTTCCAGCTATCCAGCTTTCCAGCTTTGTTCTCAGGGAATTGATCATTTCTCAGATTTATTATATTTTATGAAATTCAGTCTAATAAAGTCTAATAAATCTTAATTTAGTAAAATTAAATCCATAAAAATTTTGTTTATTCATTTATTGAGTATAAAATGCAAAAAAGTAAACCTTTTGTTAAAAGTAGTAGTTCTAAAATTTCAAATATACAATTCTCAGCTCTACTAACAACTAGATTTACTGTACTTTTTGCTCAACATTGTAAATCCCTTCATTTTTCGCCCACTGAAATTCGTTATCTTAAAGAAAGAATGAGTGATATGGTGAAAATGAGAGAAATTTGAAAGAAACATATTGTCTATCAAATTGAAATTGAATATTCAATTGCTCCACTGAAATTCGTTATCTTACTCGTTATCTTATTCGTTATTCAATTGAATATTCAATTCCTACTTTACAAGCCGCCATCATGCAATTAGCTGTAAAATGCTAGAAGTTGATCGAAAAGAAAAACGAAAATAAAAAGCCCTATCAGGAACCGAACCCCGACTCTTTGAGCTGGAGGTTAACCCGCTATCCAATATGCCATCGCTTCGTTTTTCCCCCTCGAGGAAAGGAGCCTTTTAAAGAATCCAATGCTTTCAAATGAAGTTTTTGATTGATTTTTTTTTCCAATTTTTGATTGAATTTTTACACGTCTTGAAAACTTGGAAGGTTTTGTTTTTGAAAGATTTTGATTTCAGATTCGGATTCCTCATAAACGATTGTATAAATTAGTGTCCAGACAAAAGCTTACCTTGTTTTCGTGCCTTTCACCAAGCGCTTCAATTTGAGCGCTTTATCTCTTGATTCTCTTCGGATTAGTCGAATCTCTAGAGATTGTGGCTAGATTGTTTTAATCTTTATTTCCTATCATTTTAAAAACCCCGAACCGCCCTCCACAAAGCCTGCCGTCTGCCGAATTAGAGCCTCGAATTAGCTCGTCTGTCGATCTGCCGAATCAGTCTGTCGAATTAGATTAAAGCTTGTTTTCGTGCCTTTCCCTCGTGAATTTTTCTGGATAAAGCTCTACAAATTGCTTGCAAATACAAACACACGTGAAACCTTGCAACGAAATGAAATCCATTGCTTCTTTCCTTTTTCTAATAAACTTTCCTTCAATTTTCTCTCAAATTTTCACTTAACACAATGAAAATTCTTTTGAAACAAAAGAGTTTTTTAAGATTTTTCAAAATTTTCCCATTCAAAAGGGAACTTTAAGCAAAGGAAAGCAAAGAAAATTTTCATTTTTCCACTTCCACAGAAAGGGAAATTTTTGGTGAGGAATCTTTTTTTCATGATTTAAACAGAAAACATTTGAGAGCGCAAATTTTCACAATTTTCTTCGCTTTCCACAATTTCGCTTTCACTTTCAACATTTACCTGGAATGCTATTTTCCAAATAATTTTTCAAACAACTTTATGTATTGGGTTAATGGAAAAGTCCTTTCCGATTTTTTGGGAGAGTACCTTAAATTTGTCGAATTTAGACGTTTTATAGCTCATCTTAAAGCTGAATTCAAGACGGATCGATTGGTAAAAACCGTTTTGAAATATCTCTTTTCTAAAAGTTTTTACAGCTATTTTAGGAAAGGGCGGCAGAGCCAAAAAAATCGCTGTTTTCACGTTTCGTTAGTTTTCCGGTGACACCGGTGACAATATTTTTCAAAATTTTTTGCTAAGATTCTGAAAATGCGTGTCTAGGGATTATTTTTGACGCTGCTCACAAAACACATGTTTTTAGCCTAGGTTTCTGCACGGAAAACTAACGAAACGTGAAAACAGCCATTTTTTGGCTCTGCCGCCCTTTACTAAAATAGCTGTAAAAACTTTTAGAAAAGAGATATTTCAAAACGGTTTTTACCAATCGATCCGTCTTGAATTCAGCTTTAGGATGAGCTATAAAACGTCTAAATTCGACAAATTTAAGGTACTCTCCCAAAAAATCGGAAAGGAATTTTCCATCAACCCAATAGATTATCTATTTCTATCTTCTTTATTCACCTAGCATTTCATTTATTACATTTATTACTTTTATTTCTTTTATTTCTTTTATTACATTTATTACATTTATTACACTTATTACATTTATTACTTTTATTACATTTATTACATTTATTGCATTTATTTCATTTATTTCTTTTATTTCATTTACCGTATTCTCTCTAATAGTAGTGCATCTCGGCGAGCCGAATTGATGACTATAATAGAACAAAGAGAACTGGGAACAAGACGGAGATCGTCCAAGGCCTAAGTACCGTGTTTTCTCTAATAGTATTTTCCCGCCTAGCCGAGTTGATGACTATTTTACAGCTTCAAAGCTTTCACAGAAGCTCAACACTCAAATCCTCCACAAGATCTCATCGTTAGCTACATTTCCCGACCATTCCCGACATCGATAGGTTCTGATAAGCGGTTCTCGAGATTTCAAGGAATTTAGGCAAAGCTTAGGGTGCACTACTATTAGAGAAAATACGATATTTCATTTATTTATTTATTTCAATCATTTCAATCAATTCCATCAATTCTTCAGAAGAAGCCCTTTATTTATTTCTGCTTTTGTTAGATCTTTAAATAAATTTTCAATTCAATTCAATCAATTCAATCAATTCAATCAATTCGATTTCCAGAATGAAATCGTGGTACTTGAGCATTTCACGATGGCCTTTCTTCTTCTCATCGTTTTTGCCTCTCATTTCCCCGTTTACAACATGGTTTGTTTGTCAAAAATTTGCGCCAAAAAGGGTTTAACGTTTAAAGTAAAGGCTTAAGATAATCCTTTTTGTTTTTCAAACTTTTAACAAACATTTCTTTTTGATAAAGCTTTTTTAATAAAGCCTTTTTGATAAAGCTTTTTTGATAAAGCTTTTTTAATCAAGCTTTTTTAATAAAACTTTCGCTTTTGATTAAACTTTTCTCCTTTTCTCCTCATTTCTCGATTTACACAAGAAGATCCCAATTCGCTTTATCGAAATGGGATTTTCATTTTAAAAGCCTTTACTTTACAATAAACGTCTCGTTTTCCAATTTTCACAAAAGAAAACTTGAAAATGAGTGTAGCCAGAAGGGGGATTTTGACGAGAAATCTATCGAACTTTAACGAATTTCTTGTCATTTCTCGAACGCCGAAGTGATCGTCGATTTACACCAGATGTGTAAATGGAAATGAATAGTGTTAAATGGAAATGAATAGTATAAATGGAAATTGATAGTGTAAATGGAAATGAATAGTGTAAATGGAAAGCGAAAGCCGACTTCCGATAAGTAAACCATGATTATCCACCCCAAAAATTTTCAGGGTTAACTACGCCGAGGACGCTGCTCGTTTAAAGCAACCAAAGCCATCGACATGGTCCGAGAAACCGATGGGACAATGGTGTCGGAATACAACAAATGATTTGTAAGTGATATTCGAGGAAAAATACGTAACTATTCTCATAAAAGCCTTCACCTGCGTACAGTCGCGTAGTACGTCTACAGACGTCTACAGACGTACGTCTACGTCCGTAGACTATTCCTACCAAAAAAAAACATACTAGATTACAAGGATTATCGTTTAACACCAAAGCGCACATTAAAGGGGGTATTAATCGCTGCCGGGTGACGATAAAAAAAATTTTTTTACGGCAACCACCTGTTTTTTATTTTATTAGGGGTTTGCAAAAGAAACTGCGCATGACTTTCCGGAACAATATTTTCTCTATTTGAAAGTGCTCTAACCCAGTTTAAATTTTATTCTATTGTGTTGATAACGCTTATTTATTTTACTGATTTTCACATTTGTTTGACCATTGAATTATAAATAATTTTAGTTGTCGAAGATGACGGATCAAAAATTCGTTTTGCGGGCTTGCCTTCTATGACTTTAAAATGAAGAAATCAGCATTGGAGTCGCACCGGAATCTTTGTGAAGCATTTGGAGAAAACGTTTTGAGTGAAAGAAGTTGTCAGGAATGGTTCCGGCGTTTTCGTGAAGGAGATGAGGGCTTGGAAGACGAGCCCCATGGACATCGTCCTGTTGTCCTCGATAATGCGGAGTTGCTCGAGGTTGTCGAGTCGGATCCAACTCAAACTTTGTCCGAATTAGCCGAATGCTTTAAATGGGATAAGAGCACAATTTCCCGACACCTTTTGCTTATTGGAAAAAGGAATCGTTGTGGCCAATGGGTCCCACATGAATTGTCGCCTGAAAACAAAGCCAATCGAGTTTTATTGTCTCGGATTTTATTGAAAAAGGCTACGGGCAGTGCTTTTTTTGAAAGCATGTTGACGATGGACAAAAAGTGGATATATTTCAATAATTCAACACGCAAAAGACAATGGTTGAGCAAAGGAGAAAGGCCGATTCCGACATCACATCCAGAACTTCACAGGAATTTTGGAATATGAAAGGAATCGTTTATTTTAAACTACAAAAATCTTCAAAAACTATAACTTCTCAAAGCTACGCCGAACAGCTGAAGAAAGCTGACGAAATTCTACGAGAAAGAGGTGTTAATCCAAGGACAATCCATTTACTCGCTCACAATTTCCGGGTACACACATCAAACTTGGCTCAAAACACCATAGAAGAATTAGGCTGGAAACTTGTGCCTCATCCGCTCTATTCGCCTGATATCGCTCCCTCAGATTACCACTCGTTCCTGTCTATGCAACACTCTCTTGCAAAGCTAAAGTTTAACAATCCTGAAGAAGTCGAAATTTGGGTGCAAGACTACTTTGCATCGCGGGATCCCGAATTTTTCGATTCGAAAAATGGAAAAATATAGTTGATAATTTTGGCGAGTACCTTTTGGAATAAAGTCTTTTATTATTAATTTTCGAGGTGTTTGAACGTTGCGTATAATACGCAGTTTCTTTTGCAAACCCCTAATAATATCGTTGATTTTATTATAAAAGAATTAAAAATCACCCCGGCTAGAGTGATTTGATGGGTTTACAAATTTTTGGAGACACTGCAAGGCTTGGAGAAAAACAAGATCATCACTCATCAGACACCTCAGCTAAAAGGCACCTCTTTGAGAAAACTAAAACCACAAGCGACCACAAATGGAAAAAAAAGAGATAGTATAAAGCAGGGCAGAGAAGGGATGGTGTAAAGTTAGACTACGCTGCAAAACCTCATCATTAATACCAAAGCGCAGATTAAAGCATTTTGGAGGGCCGGGCGTGCTTCTATTCGAATAATTATGATAACTTTATTAAGAAAAAGTCAATGAAATTGAAAAAGCAGAATTTCTCTTAAGCATCAAATCATGTAAATCACTTAATCACAATATTCAGGCACACTCAATGCCCGAGAGCCTCTGTAGCTCATGAGTGGTATTGTTGCGGAGAGAGTGGAGCCGAGTGTTGTTTCGCCGTGCAAGGATGGGTCAGTTAGACACTTTTAAAAGAGAGTAAAGATTAGTAAAAAGCAAACAAAAAAAATCTTTTAGATCTCTTTCAATGCGGTCAATCAAATTTTTGGCATAAAATCTTTTTAAGACTCAAATTTTCAGGTCTACCTGCTCACCGGTTGTATCCTTTTTGTCGGTCTTGCCACTCTCATTTTCCATCTACTTCTGCATTTCGGTGTCATCTGGCCGACCGAGCGAAAAGTCGAATTGAAAAAGTTTAAGGTGATCGAGGAGAAGCCACATTTGATCACCACTCCATAATTTTTTTTTCTTGCTCAAATTTTACTGATTAGACGGTGCTTCTTTTGTGCTTTCTAAAAGGTGTGTTTAAGAAAGAAAGCTACCATAATCCCGGTGTCAAAGGAAATGGTACTTTTGCTTAAGCGTACCTTTTAAGAAAATTTTGCCTTCTAAAACGTACTACTCATTCTCCAGCGCTTCTATATTATGCTCATGATCTCCTACGGGTCATTTATACGGTATTCCAGAAGATTTTTTCCATATCTAGATATCTAAAATAGCCTAAAATACCTATTTTGCTCATCCCGGTGCCTTTCTTCTATCATATCGAACTAAATTCCTCTAAAATAACCAACCCACTAGCATCGATCTCTAAACTTTTTCAGAGTCACTGTACAAAATTTCAAAAAAAATAATAAATTTTATCTGCAAATGTTTGAAACGTAACAACAACACAATATCAAAAAAGTGAACAATTGAAGAATCAACGGAAGAAATGATGAAAAAACGAAAAAATGAGACCAACTTGAAAGGAATTCACCATGAACTCGTAGAAAATTCAAACGACTAGACGATATGTGATGTAGCGTCCGGCGGTTTCCGATGGCCTGATGATCTTCACAACCTGGAAAAGAAAGATGTGAGTGAAAAAATGGGCTAAAGTTTCGTTTAGTTCTATAATCTGACTTGTACCCGCTCTTAAATACTAATAAATTTAGGTCTACTCACAGAATAACCAATGCGAATGTATTGCTCAAAATTTGCCTCAAAAAATATTCGTACCTGTCCTCGTTTAAGTCCAAAGTAGCGAGCCACCGGGTCGGTTTGTTGAATTCGCGGTAGTTGGGTGTCTTTGAGTTTACTAAATTGAATAAATTAGCGATCTTTATCACAATTAAAGAGAACCAATTTTGCGTAAAATTTCACGTACTATCTAGCTAGCAATTCCTGCTTTTCGTCGTTAGTCATCACAACATGCTCGGGCACCAACTCGTGTTCAGTGATATTTACCTAAACTTTGACATTTTTCAAACAACTAAACTATTACTCACCATCAGCTCATTCTCTAGGAAGTACTCCAAAATGTACTTTGGCATCATGTCAGTAAGAGCCTGAAATAGAAAAAATGAAAAATTCAACAGCTTAACAAACCTGTTTAGCTGAAGGTGTCATTCCAGTTTGGATACAAATGATGGCTCTGGTGATAGATTGTTCCTGAAAAAAGAAAACATGTCATTTATTACAAGAATATCTTTACCTGCATCTGCTGGCAAATGGCTTTAATCGTTTTTACACCAACTTTGGGGTCTTCCGGAAAGAAGACGAACATCTGATCTGAAAACAAAAATCATAAACAATTGAATCTAATAAGTGAAATCGTACTAGATCTAGATTTTTACCTTGCGGATCATCATTGTGTGCGACGAGAATGGTGAGGTCACTCCGTCTGGGCGCAGTTGATCCATCACTGCCGAATTGTTCCTAAATAAAATTTTAAAATAAAAGCTGTAAATGGAAAGAAACCTTGAATTGCTCGATCGATTGATCCAACTCGTCTTGTGTTACTAGATAACCTCGATCGTGGCACATCTAAAATAAAAATGTATCCCTTGAATATCAAAACTAGCAAATTAGGCTCTTGTCCGTCACATGAGGCTTTTGAAAGGTGAAAGACGCTTAAGGTTTTTTTTAAAGTATTTTGGGTTTCTAAAAAGATTTTTGGTAATGAATTTATTAAAGTAAGCAGTATGATTAACAGAGAAAAAATTCACCCACAAAGTCTAGTAGAAGTCTCCAAAGCCAATTCTTGTCGTAAAATCGTTAGTTTAGCTGTCTGGAGCTTTGAAAGCATCCATCAAGCACCTGCGTGGAGTTATTCAAGACAGACTTCCATCTTACATGTTTGAGTACCTGTCTAGACGTGCTCACTCATGAGATTGTTTTTTCCTGTCTTTTGAACGCGATTAGTCTTGTTTTTTCCGTTGTTTAGTGGCCAAGTTTTTCTCTGGTGTTCAGCCGTTACTATGTGTTGTTGATGGTTCTTCTTTGATCATTTTAATAAATTCGTTATCAAAAATCTTTTTAGAAACTCAAAATGCTTTAAAAAAAACTTTAAACTTCTTACATCTCGGATAACGGACAAGAGTCGCTAATTGTTATTCCAATTTTTACCTGCATAATGGTTTTGCGCACGCGCCACATCTTGTAGATCTCTTGCTCCTCCTCGGACATATTTGCAACTAAATTGAAAAATATAATAAAACACCGTAACGGGTATTTTTACGAAAATATAGAAATAAGCATCCAAGTTGGATATTTTAGGATCAAAATCCAGCAATCCAGCAAACAATTCAAAACTTTCTTAAAACTTTATTGGACATCAACAAATAAGAACAATAACGAATAAATCACCTAAATTACGCTAATTCTAGCTAAATTTAACAAATACAAAAAATGAAACAAACGATTTGTACAAAAATGATAGGAATAATGACTTTATTTCTTGTCCTTCGCCTTCCCGAATGCTGGCTTCTCGTGTCGGCCGGGTGGTTTGATCGGCGCTTCCCATTCCTCGAAATGATCCTCGGGGAAATGAACCTAAAATTCAAAAATTCAAAATGATTGATTTTTTGGTTTTAACTTTAAAATTGTCCTTTACCATTGAACATTAAAAGAAAATAAATTCATTACCTTTAAACTTTCAAATATGATAGAAAACTTTTAATTAAAAACTCACCAATCTCGGAAAAGCCGCTCTTTCTTCAGCCGTGTAATCAGTCGACTTTCGTGGCACAACTTGCACCTAAACGTACCTTTTAATCCAGTCATTGATTCACAACAATATAATAAACAAAAAAATTACTGACTAAGCAAAATATGCTTTTAAGCTTACTTGTTCCAACAAATTGCCAATATTTTTCTGTATATACTCGGGCATTTTTGCGTCAGGGAAGAGGTGAAGTCGTTGAATGTGCTTCCGCCGTATCAAATTGTTGCCCAACTTGTTGTAAATGGCCATGAAGATTACCCTAAAAATATAGAATGAGTAACTTAGCTTTGAACACTGTAATTTCTACCTGCATGGATCGTATTCGTGTATTTGATAAGCGGGAATATCGGCTCGTCCCTGTGGGTATTGATTGTCGAAGTGGAATATCCTGTGTTTCCAATCGAAGCCCTCCATTGCCACATCCTAAAGTGGAAAAAATATTTACCAATCATAATCACTATCAAATATTCAATTAAGCTTTCAATTTTTGCCCCAATTCGGTCGTTCATCGACCATATTAACGGTTAAAAATAATTACGCTAACTTTCGTTAGCCAACTTTTGATCCAGTTGTCTTTAACGTTTACAATCAACAACTACTCAACAAAATAACTTATTAGTCAAGTCTAACTTAACTTATTTAAAGCAACATACCTTGCAATTGACGACAACCACGTGATCTCCACAATCGGCCTCCGGGTGCCACAAAGGTTTTTGTTTGCCGGCTAGATGTCGAGCTACCTAAAGAAAAAAAAAATTATAAAGCAATGAAATAATAAAAATTTGATAACTGTAAAATGTTTGGATTCAGCAAAAGAATTGCAAAACGCAGAATATAATCATTTCCTCGCATTTGCATAAACTTTATATTAATCTGCTTAACTTAGACTGCTACGTAAGCAACAAAAAGCATAACAAGCTCAAAATTAACACCAAAACCAAGCCAGCATTTAATTTTTATGACTTTTATACTCTAAAAAAGGCTTTAAAAGCGTTTAATAGCAACAATAAGGTGCAAAACTTGCTCAATTTGTGATTTATGCTTAACTAAAGAATCAATAAAACATTTGTTTACAAAATTAGCTCAATAAAACACTCAAGACAAACCTTTTCCCCGAGCACATACACATCTTGATGATTCGCGTCGATGAGATGCCATTGTCGAGCGAATTGTAGCCATTGATTCGCGCGGGCGAAGCGACCCGTCCGTGTTGCCATTCTGAAAAGGTTAAAAATTACATTAGATAGTTTAACTTTTAAAACAAATACATAGGATCAAGACGTAACGCAACAATTTAGTCAAGGAATTAAAGAGCTCGGGAAGATTTTCGTGAAAACGCAAACTTCATAAAGGAACTTTCGTGAGATACGGTTGAAATTGTCGTTATCCACAAAATAGGCAAAAGGCTCTAAAGTTTTTGTTCAAAGAAAGGCGAAAAGCGCGAAGAAAGGCGATTTAAAGGCGAAAAAGAAAGTTTTAGCTTTGTGCTAAAAAGGGGAGTGGGACAAATGCGACCTTTTTTTTGCGCACCCGGACATTTGCGCACCTTTTTTTCCGCACCTTGCCCATTAGCGCACCTTTTTCGCGTTTTAAAAAAGCTCTAAAAAGCTAATATTAACCAATTTCTATTCCAAAAGTTGTTTTTCTAGGTAATTTGAGGGTGTAGAATTCAAATTTTGACATAACAGAGCGTGTGGAATCAATTTGAAAGACAAAACGGGTAGGTCAAATTACAGAAAATGGTCGATTTTTCTCTTTGTATAACTCCGTCCGTTCGCTTCCACAAGCTCTGATATGTCAAAATTTGAATTCTACACCCTCAAATTACCTAGAAAAACAACTTTTGAAATAGAAATTGGTTAATATTAGCTTTTTAGAGCTTTTTTAAAACGCGAAAAAAGGTGCGCTAATGGGCCAGGTGCGGAAAAAAAGGTGCGCAAATGGCCGGGTGCGCAAAAAAAAGGTCGCATTTGTCCCACTCCCCTAAAAAGTGTAACTAGTTTTAGTTACTAGATCTACCATTAGCTACGGTCATCTTCTACGGTCATGGACAAAAGTTCTTTTAACGTTGCTTTTCCCAAGTTTATTTTTCAACCAATTTGCAAACGATTGAAAGTTTTAAAGAGCTTATTAGATCTAGTTTTAAGGGGGTGGCTACTTTGCCCTAAATTTTTTGCGTAACTGGGTCATTTGCGCAACTCGCCATAACTTTCTTCTAAGTGTGCCAATCTTTATGATTTTGGTGTCATTTTGTTACGCTTGTTGAGATCTACAAAATCACACCAAAATCATAAAGATTAGCCCACTTAGAAGAAAAGTTATGGCGAGTTGCGCAAAAGATCTAGTTGCGCGAAAAATTTAGCACAACGTAGCCACCCCCAGTTTTAGCATTAGCAAAAAATGGATTCAACAATTTATAACTGGACATGAACTTTTCAAAAAACAAAAATTTCGCCAAAAATCGATAGAGAAAAGTCTTTTAACATGTGATAAAAGCATAATGAAAAAAATGAAAATCAATACTTACAAGGGAATGGTCTCAGCTCAAAGTTCGGACTCGACTGGAAACAGTGCATAACATAGAATCGGCAATGGCGAACAAAACGCCACAAAAAATTAGCCGCTAATAGCCATGGAAATGCGAGAAATCTGCAAAATAGGGATTCAAAACTGATTCTTTTATAAGGCTTCTCTCGCTGCCGGCCTTCTCAGAGATGAGCTCGTGGCCTAGTGGATAAAGGCTTAGGCTCTGTGAAACGTCGGTCCTATTTTTGCCCACGGGTTCAAATCCAGCCACATTTTTGCCTATGGGACGCTCTGCGATACAAGTTTTAACCGGAAAAAGAATAGGACCGACTAGAAAATCTATTAAAGTTACTTTCAATCACCCATAAACAATTTCGAGCAGATCAATTTCAGAAATTTTGTCGTTTTCTTGACATTCGAGTGGTTACGTCGATGCAAACCCAGGCAAATAGAACAAAATTTTGCATTTGGGCGGAATTGAACCCGAGGACAAGAACAGAACCGACGTTTCACAGAGCCTAACCCTTTATCCACTAGACCACAAGCTCATCTTTGGCCAGCAGCGAGAGAAGCCTTATAAAGGAATCAGTTTTGAATCCCGATTTTGCAGATTTCTCGCATTTCTGTGGCTATTATCGGCTAATTTTTGTGGCGTTTTGTTCGCCATTGCCGATTCTATGTTATGCACTGTTTCCAGTCGAGTCCGAACTTTGAGCTGAGACCATTCCCTTGTTAGTAGGTCCTCCGCGAGCCGCAATTACTACTTGAATCCGTTTCAGCATCGAATCGACAAGATCGTGTAAAATTCGAGCTTCAATAATGTTCCCGGTTCGACGAATGAAGTACTAAAGCTCAACCTTGGATCCGAATCGTTTTCCCTTCAATTTCGACTTCAAAAAAAGCGCACAAATGTTCGATGGGGTTGAGATCTGGGTGAATATTGTTTACCGAACGGATTCCGTGAAGCCGAGAGAAAAGATTAATTCGATTTGCTTTAAATCATCCTGACATCAGAGTTGTTTCTTTATTTGTTCCTCTATTTTCTATGAAATCCTCCATTTTATAAAATAGAAAGACCAAAAGAACTGGTTTCCCAAGAACATAGCAAGGAAAATCGAGTTTTAGATTTGTTTTACTTGATGTCTAACCCGTTTTTTTTTTCGATAAAGCCTATTATTTGGATTATTTGGTTACGTAAAAGTTGGCTGACAAGCGGAAAAGGAGACAAGAAAAGAGAAATCCGTTCGGTAAACGATTGTTGAAAAAAAAAAGAAAGAAAGAAAAGGGAGCTTTAGTGAAAAAAAGATGAGAGGGAACATTTGTGGGTTGGACAGGAAATTTCGATCTCGTTAGGACACATTTGTGGCCTTATCATTTTCGTTATTTATTCCATTTTGCATTTTCTAAAAGGTGGTCAATTTGGGGAAACTATCTTTTAAGAAAAGAGTTGCTAGCAAAAGCGTCGCGTTTTTTGCGTCAAAATCTTTTGCACTAAAAATTTGTGCCACTTTTCATTTACGCGAAAATCTTTTGGACCGATTTTGGACCAATCTTTTGAACCAATTGTGTCAAAAATTTTTGCACCACTTTTCATTTCCCGGCAAATCCGTTATTTGCGCCATTTGCTTATGAAAATTACTAACAAATCACTTTTTCCCAACTTCTAAACAACTTTTTTTTTCAGTTTTCTGCTCCACAATTTTAATTCATTAAAAATTCCTTATCTCTCCAAATTTGGTTCCTTATCTCTCTAAATTTGGTTCCTTATCTCTCTAAATTTGGTTCCTTATCTCTCTATACAGGGTGGCTGAAAATTACGTGCGCGCAGCATCAGCATCATAGCTTTAAACAATGTATAAAGCATTACTACTCATCTTTTTGTGTTTTAATATTCTTTTTATCGTTGTCTATTAATTTTTTGTTAAAAAAGTTGTTTTCTAGGTTTCTTTGGCGAACGTAATTTTCAGCCACCCTGTATTTACTTCCTTTAAATTAAAAAAAACATGTTTAAATACATATACAATCTCAAAAGCAGTCATTTTCATGTCACCGATTGGGCTTTTTGCTTGATTTTATACCTTTTCAGATCCGACGACGATAGTAAGCATTGTCGACGAGAAAAAGTAGATGCTACGCGGCGCTAATGCTACGCGGCGCTAATGCTACGCGGCGCAAATGCTACGCGGCGCAAATGCTACGCGGCGCAAATGCTACGCGGCGCAAATGCTACGCGGCGCAAATGCTACGCGGCGCAAATGCTACGCGGCGCAAATGCTACGCGGCGCAAATGCTACGCGGCGCAAATGCTACGCGGCGCAAATGCTACGCGGCGCAAATGCTACGCGGCGCAAATGCTACGCGGCGCAAATGCTACGCGGCGCAAATGCTACGCGTCGTCAAAAAATTTGCCACTTTTGCTAGCACCTCTTAGAAAACGCACTCTACTCTAATCATTTTTTTTCAAAGCCGGACAACTTTTACTCAACTACATTTCCTTTCATTTTCAACAATTCAACTGTTTCCATTGTTTGGGTTTTTTTTTTGATCTGGCTAAGATAAAAGATTGACAAACTTTATACTAGTAAACACTAGTAAATAGCGTACAGGGTGCGTCATAATTATTGCAACAAGATACTCAAGGCATTGCACACCAAGAAGTTTCACTGGAAGAAGATTTTTTAAACAGAAATAGCTTTATTTAACAGTAACAAATAAGGAAACAAGAGATCATTCGATATGACCGCCTTTTGCCTTGATAACAGCCCTTAATCGGCTCGGATATGCCTCCACTGCGGCCCGAATGTCATCTTGAGGAGTCGCTTTCCATCCTTTGGTCAAAGACTTCTTCAAGGTCAAAGAGCAGACATTAGCCTCTAAGATTGCCCAAATGGAAAAGTCCATCACATTGAGATCCGGTGAGTTTGAAGGCCATTCATCCTTGGTGATCACTGAGGGAAAGTTGGCCACACACCAGTCCTGAACCGTCTTCTTGGTGTGAGCGGGAGGCAATTAGGCGAGAATAAAGAAGATAGAACGCAACAAAAAATAAGAAAGCTGTTTGGAAAACGGTCTTTGAACTCTTGTTGCAATAATTATGACGCACCCTGTATTCGTTTTCCTGTTCTGTCTAAAATGTTGCCCCTTTATTTTGATTACCATAATTTTTGCCTTTATTTTTATCCAATCTTTTTCACTTTTTTGTCTAATTAATTCGAATTTTCGTCTAATTTTCGTCTTTTTCGTCTTTTTCGTCTAGTATCACAAAGGATATCGAAAGATTAAAAAAAGTGGATAGGCTATAGAGAAATAGAGAAAAAAAAATGTCGGTATTCAGAGAAAGAGGGCATGTTTTTGTTGTTTCAGATATGCGAATGCCATCAATTTTACGAATATTACTGTTATTATTATCACAAGAGAATTTATTTGTGAAAGGGCTTGACGGGTGGGAAATACTCGCTGATTCCCCGAGGAATCTCTCAAAAAGCGCTCAGCAATGGGAGGTACTCGACGGGAAAACAATCGACATGAGAAAAGACGAGGAAAAGCAACGCTGGGAGATCGTTGATGCGAATTCGACAAGTGAGGTGCACTTTGTGCTTTAGTAAACGCAAAACTTTCTGGCATAGTCGATTCTTCACATATTTTAGAGCCACCAATGCTCAAAGTTGACTGGGAAGTGATGGATGCGACGCAAGAACAATTTTCGGAGAGGTATCGAATAAAAAGTGAGTCACCAAGATAAGCACAGAATTTGGATTCAAAGTTCAAGATAAACAAACAGCTACCCAGCTCTCGTAATCCGCTCTAAAGCGTGTCCCAGCTACCGTAGCCCAACGCATTAGACAGATCTTTCTACCATAAGAATAGCTCTTTACACTACCTCTTATTTTGAGGTCAAATTAGATTAAAATCAGTCTCTTTCACCTTTATAAGGCTTCTTTCACCGCCCCCAAATGTGAGCTCGTGGTGTAGTGGATAAGGCTCTCGTTTCCATGAGGAGCTTATCAAGTCTTTGCTCGAGTTCGACCCTTTCCTTTTCTCTTCATTTTATTTTGATGTTTAACCGCTCGAATTCACTCTATTTTAGTGTTACGATATCGATTTCTCCATTCATTCGATCAAAGTCAAAATCATGATCAAATCAAAATCATGTCGGTAGTTGAACGTAAAATTCGTAAAAGAAATGTTTACCAACTGTCCGAGTTAGTCTAACGGATACCGATTGTGAGTTATAAGTTACGATAGGGGAATTACGGTGATTACTGTAATTCGATCTATGGGTATCCGGGTTACGATAAGGGAGTTACGGTAATCTTACAGTAGACGGGTTACGGTAGCCGGGTTACAGTAGATGGGTTACGGTAGCCGGGTTACAGTAGACGGATTACAGTAGACGGGTTAGAGGGGTTACGGTAGCCGGGTTACAGTAGACGGGTTACAGTAGACGGGTTACAGTAGACGGGTTACAGTAGACGGGTTACAGTAGACGGGTTACAGTAGACGGGTTACAGTAGACGGGTTACAGTAGAGGGGTTACGGTAGCCGGGCTACAGTAGACGGGTTACAGTAGACGGATTACAGTAGACGGGTTACGGTAGCCGGGTTACGGTAACCTTATAGTAGACGGGATATGGTAGCCGGGTTACGGTAGCCGGGTCACAATCAGTACTTGTTTTAATCCGGTTTACATTAGCTGGTTACAATAGTCGGATTACTGTAGCTGGATCGTGATTTAAGGACTTAAAGCACTGAAGTGTTCGGAGGAAAGTTCATAGCTTTGTTTTACTTCAACTCTTTTTCTAAGACCATATAGTTAACCTCAAAAATGGTGGTGGAAAAGTGCGAAGACAAAAACAGGAGCTTGTAAAACGGAACAAAGGGTTGGCCACTCCATTGTTGTCGTTTCTCTCTCTTTTTTTGTGCACAGATTATCGGGGGTGTCCCCTATCGTCTTTTCACTATTTCATTCCCTTGTTCAACACCTTTTCAACCCCCTCCCCCCTTCTATTCCGTTGCTCCAACAAAAAGTGATCCCAGAAGATCACGCCTTTCGAAAAATGAAAGAGATCTCTTTGATCTCAATCCTCAAAATTCTCTTTTATCTGAAATTCAGCGATGCTTGGTACACTTCTTGTAAGTTTCTTTTTATTATTTATAATTAAATCTTGCTAAATCTTGAGCTTTGTGCTTCTTCTCGTCGTTCTTTTTCTTCTTCTCGTCTTCTCTTCCTCTCTTCCTCTCTTCCTCTCTTCCTCTCTTCCTCTCTTCCTCTCTTCCTCTCTTCCTCTCTTCCTCTCTTCTTCTCTTCTCCTCTTCCTCTCGTCTTCTAAAAGAACTCAAGCTTAAGCTAGAGCTAGACTAATATAATCTTAAGCTAGACTAATATAATGTATTTATGATTTTATATTCTATATTATTTGAAAGCACAAATCTCCTCTTCAAGATAGACTAATAAGTTCCACAAAGAGTTTCCGAGTTCCACAAAGTTTAGACCAATTAAACCCGAGTTTAAGTTTATAAAAAAGAAAATGAAGAGCGCCAATCGATCCGCGACCCCGAAAACCCCCGGCGCTACAAATTTACAGCTGAATATCCTTTTATTTGGCTATCTACAAAACAAGAGAGAAAAGAGAAGACTGCGTGTTCTTTGCTAATCGCTCTCCATCTGGCAAACGACCCTGGGATAGGGTGCTGACTTTCAAAAGCAAGAAAAAAGCCGGGGACGGAGCCGAAACAGCAAGCTTTGCACTACGAACTCAGGCCACCAACCACTCGACCACTCGGCCAATGCTCAACTGCGTGTGAGAGTCTCCTTTAATTCAACATCGATGGAAAGACTTGACAAAATGAAAGAAGCAGAAGCTGTAAAGGTGAGCGACTGAGCTTTTTTTGGCGTCATTATGCTCAAATCTTTGGGAGGATTTTTTTCTCATGGTTTGCTAGTCAAACCAATCTTGATCTTTGTATTCCAGATTAGGGTTACAAGAAAAACAGCTTTATCCGCTATTGCTGGAAAAGGAAGCATTTGAAGAAGAAGAAGAAGAAGAAGAAGAAGAAGAAGAAGAAGAAGAAGAAGAAGAAGAAGAAGAAGAAGAAGAAGAAGAAGAAGAAGAAGAAGAAGAAGAAGAAGAAGAAGAAGAAGAAGAAGAAGAAGAAGAAGAAGAAGAAGAAGAAGAAGAAGAAGAAGAAGAAGAAGAAGAAGAAGAAGAAGAAGAAGAAGAAGAAGAAGAAGAAGAAGAAGAAGAAGAAGAAGAAGAAGAAGAAGAAGAAGAAGAGGAAGAGGAAGAAGAGGATGATGAAGAAGAAGAGGAAGAAGAAGAAGAAGAAGAAGAAGAAGAAGAAGAAGAAGAAGAAGAAGAGGAAGAGGAAGAAGAGGATGATGAAGAAGAAGAGGAAGAAGAATCTTTTCAAGATTTCTTTCTATTCGAAACCGAAGGAGCTGTACTTCGATCAGATCCGAAATCTTTCAGATCGATGCCAGAAAGTCGGAGATAATCATGGGTTCTACTTTAAGGAATAGTTGTTATCTTTGATGATTAAAGTGCGCATAAAAATAGTATTTTTGCGCAACTGAGGGAGAACTCTTTCCTCAACCCTACTAGTTATGCACGTGAAAGAAAAAAACTCAAAATACTTTTCCTAGGCAGCACTTATGGTGAGCTAAAAACTATTAAAACAAAAAAAAGAAAGAAAAACAGGGTGCTTCTATCATTTTTTTAATCTTTAAATCACTCAAAAGCATTCAAAAAAATCTCCTTAATCTTTCGTTAAAAGCCTTCAATTTTCCTTAAGATCTTTGCCCAGCCGGATTGGTGCCATTTCTCGAGGACAAGCGTGGGATTCCGCGCTCGTGCAACGATAACTCAGTAAGTATCAAAGCTTTTCATATATTTTCTTTTGCATATCTATTTTCTCTATTGAATTCTATTGAATCTATTGAATTCGATTGCAGATTTTTTTATTTATTCAAAATTTTTATGGTTGTCCAACGGGATATCACTGCGGAAAGAACAAGATTTGCTGTGGAGCGCCCGGGATTTGCCCCGAGTACTTCTACGCGCTCAAGGATGATTACGGTAAGACTATATAAGGCTACTGTAGTCTTTTGGATTACGGTAAGACTCTAAAAGGCTACCGTAAGCTTTTGGATTACGGTAGTTTTCTATTCTGCTAGTTTAGGTCGTTACACATCCTGTGTGAAATCGACGATTGGCCTTTGCCCCAACGAGTCACTTTGTATGGAGACAACTACAGTATCCCAGAGACTATGCTGCGTACAGGTACTGTAGACAACTTGAAGATACTGTAGACAACTTGAAGATACTGTAGACAACTTGAAGATACTGTAGACAACTTCAAGATACTGTAGACGACTTCAAGATACTGTAGACAACTGCAGGATACTGTAGACAACTTCTAGATACTGTAGACAACTTGAAGATACTGTAGACAACTTGAAGATACTGTAGACAACTTCAAGATACTGTAGACGACTGCAGGATACTGTAGACGACTGCAGGATACTGTAGACGACTGCAGGATACTGTAGACGACTGCAGGATACTGTAGACAACTTCTAGATACTGTAGACAACTTCTAGATACTGTAGACAACTTCTAGATACTGTAGACAACTTCTAGATACTGTAGACGACTACGATATCTCAAAAAAAGTAGATAAACCTTCAGCTTACTGTAGCTTTAGTTCGAGTACGCTTGCCCGATGCGAGACGCTAAACCGTGGCCGGCCGCTGATCGACCAAAGGTTTTTCTGAAAATTTCGAGACTTTAATGGAAATTTTGTAGATGTGTACACTTGCTGACTTGTCGACATGCCCCAATTCGGCTCAATGCATGCCCAGGTTTCTTTGGTTTCGCATAATGGCACAATGCTAGTAAGGCAATTCCTAGAAGCCAAAACCAACCCAGGCTCGAGACTGAGTTATTCTGAAATGGCTTTGAGCTTCTAGTAAACAGAGCTGTTCTTAGGAAGCCAAGCTAAAGCCAAGCCAATGACCTATGGTTTAGTGGCTTGAATTGATTTAGTTTTGAAAGTTTCTTGATCCAGTTCAGTTTTGACTCCTTGATCCAGTCCTGTTGGTAAGAGTTTGACAAGTCTATTACAGCCACTAAAACTGACTAATGAGGATTCACTGGCAAAAAAAAAAAAACTCTAATCAACAAAGCCGATCATGCCAACTTTGATCTCATAGCAGATTCGACAAAATTTGAGTAGAACAAAGGAAAACCTGATTCCATCAAGCCGATCAAATCAATCATCAACTAAATCAAGATTCTCATGATCATTATTAACTAAATCAAGTACTGTACTTTGATTAGACTAGTTCTAAATGGTTTTAGGATCAAAAAAAATTGATGAATATCGATCATGTCGATCATTTGAATGAAAGCGAAAGGTCATATTCATTTGGTTGAGTGTTTGAAATGCTTTTTTACTGGAACCGAACCGGAACCGCATAGAAACCGAATAGGAACTGTATAGTCTGTTGTCTAGGCTAGGTTGCTGTATTGTTTGCTGTCTAGGCTAGATACTGTATAGTCCGCTGTCTAGGCTAGGTTACTGTATTGTTTAATATCTAGGCTAGATTACTGTATTGTTTGATGTCTAGGCTAGTTAGTGTATAGTCTGTTGTCTAGGCTAGGTTACTGTATTGTTTGATCTCTAGGCTAGGTACTGTATAGTCTGTTGTCTAGGCTAGGTTACTGTATTGTTTGATCTCTAGGCTAGGTACTGTATAGTCTGTTGTCTAGGCTAGGTTACTGTATTGTTTAATATCTAGGCTAGTTAGTGTATAGTCTGTTGTCTAGGCTAGATTACTGTATTGTTTAATATCTAGGCTAGGTACTGTATAGTCTGTTGTCTAGGCTAGGTTACTGTATTGTTTGATCTCTAGGCTAGGTACTGTATAGTCTGTTGTCTAGGCTAGGTTACTGTATTGTTTGATCTCTAGGCTAGGTACTGTATAGTCTGTTGTCTAGGCTAGGTTACTGTATTGTTTGATCTCTAGGCTAGTTAGTGTATAGTTTGTTATCTAATCTAGGTTACTGTACTATTTCTTTAATATCTAGGCTAGGTTACTGTACTATTTGATTCAACTAACTCAAATTGCCAAATTCAGTAGCGTAGCCGGTACGACAATCTGTTGCGAGCGATCGTTGAGCGAAGTTCGAAGTTTCTCCGCAATTGGCACCGAGCCAAGCAAAGACGAAAAAGAAGAAAGTTGTCCACCAGGATGGACACCATACAATCAAGAGAAAATCGTAAGAAAACAAAAATGATATGAGCAAAATCATAAAGCCTACTTTCATAGATTTGTTCCCCATCAAAGGCATCTCCATGCCCCGGAAAATCCGCTTGTCTTCGCGCCGCTTCCACTCAAACTCAGCACATTTGTTGCTCTCCCGGTTTGTTGGATTCAATCGGCAGAAATCTCATTTCTTAGGCTCAGTGACCGTACCATTCTTTGGTGATCGATGTCCAGTGAATCGTTCAAGGATTGAATTGATCAACGGGGCACCAAGGCGATGCTCTGCCTATAGTCCTGAGTGTTCGGATGGGTGAGTCTTGTTGTTAATCGATTCTTTTTAATTAAAATAATAATTGATAAGGATAAAGGTAAGTAAAGTACGGTGAAATTGCTGTAATAAGTTAGATTCTACATTCTAGATTCTACATTCTAGATTCTAGATTCTAGATACTATTAGGTTGATGCAAAAGTCTTTTTCATTTTTTTCGTACTTCTTTTGAAAAATAACAAAGTCATCAATTAACCTATGGTTTACTCTAAATGAAAAGTGTTTATTGTTGAATTTCCCATCTTTTTAAGTCAATTTGGGTTCACTTTCAAGCAAATTCGAGAGTGAAAACGGGTTTTTCATAAAAATCTATAAAAACCTCTATAAAGAAATTGGCTGAATCAATTTCTCCGGAAAATCTGAAAAAATATCTAACTTTTTGTGCTCTATCTTTTATTTATTAACATCAAGATTGGTTTCCTTAGCTAAAGCGTCTAAAATGCCGTCGCCTTTTTTGACTACCCGACTTCAGGCTCTCAAAAAAATCTAGACATAAGACATTTTAAACTCGTTTTAATGTCATTTTGCAGAAAAATAATTGGCCTTTCGAATGCAATAAACCGTTGTTCAATTGGTGCATTTGTTACTTTTTAACGGAAGTACGAAAAAAATGAAAAAGACTTTTGCATCAACCTAATAGATTCTACATTCTAGATTCTACATTCTAGATTCTAGATTCTAGATTCTAGATTCTAGATTCTAGATACTAGATTCTAGATTCTAGATTCTACATTCTAGATTCTACATTCTAGATCCTAGATTCTAGATTCTAGATTGAATTCCATTCCTAGCTTTTCACTTTTGTTCTCAACGTGTCCAGTTCGATCAGTGTTGGGACTATTTAGACGTAGGCTTTAATGGGAAAAGAAGAAAAGACTGTTAATTCCTTTCTTTCTTTCTTCCTCTCTTTCTTTCTTTCTTCCTTTCTTTCTAATCCCTCAAGAATGGACACTTTCTTTCAAAAGAGACGAAAAAGGGGCCAGTCTATCACTAGAAAATCATTCCATTGATTGATTGATTCATCTACTATGTAATCAATTTAAGAATGCTTCTAGCTGGCTTCATTTTGCTATGGTTTGTTATTAAGCTATTAAGAAAGCTATTAAGAAAGAATCTTGCAAGAACTTTTGATTAATCAAATCTTTTGAGCAGCTTTTTGAGCATCTTTTTGAGCGTCCTTATGCTCAAATTCTTGGAATCAACGATTTGTTTCTCTTTGATCAATGATTTCTGATCAATTTCCCTATGATCTCTTAGTTCAATCAAGCCATTTCTGGTATTATTCGAAAGCCTGAGATCTCCTCTATCTAACGATATAAAAAGTTCATAATGATATGATTTTTGGATGAAGTTATGAGCCTTTAAAGTTGGGCTAAATTTTGGCCATAGATCGTATTTTTGCGACTATTCTATTAAAACATTGTCAGCAGTGAAACTGATAGGAAAAGTGGCTGGGTCGGTTGACTGTAGACTGAACCATAAAGATCCCCGAGACTTGCGTCCAGGCTAGACCTGGACCTGGACCCTGGCCTAGGTGCTGCAGATCTGATCCACGCCAGTAGCTAGAGCTGAACCTGGCTTGGCTTGGCCTGGCTTGGCTTTTGGCTTTCCCTGGCTTGGCTAGGCCTGGCTTGTCTTGGCCTGGCTTGGCCTGGCTTGGCCTGACCTAAGACCCGATTCATACACTAACCAGGCACTTATTTTGATATCCCAGGCCTGAATCCAGCGCCGATCTTGCTTAGCTCGAATCTAGAGTCCAATTTAGAGAACACCAAAAGTCATTCCAGAAGTGAAAAGCTATTTCCAGGTACACTTGCCAGCTTTCATACCTCCGTAAGCACATGCTCTGCTGCTCGACTACAGTACGCGCCCAGCAACCAGCACAGGTATTTTTGAAGTCTGCTTTTGATGGCATTTAGCGTATCGCGTAGTTGTTACTGTTTCCCAGATAATTTAGTGTGAATTTAAAACTAAACAAAACTATTCTAGTGATTCGATACCTCTAAATGTCCTCTAAAAATAGTCATCATTATCGTTCTTCCTTTCTTCTTTCCTTCTTTCCTTCTTCTTCCCTTCTTTCCTTCTCCTTCCCTTCTTTCCTTCTTCCCTTCTTCTTTCTCCGTATCTTTCCTTCTTCCCTTCTTCCCTTCCTCTTCCCTTCTTTCCTTCTCCTTCCCTTCTTCCCTTCTTCTTTCTCCGTATCTTTCCTTCTTCCCTTCTTCCCTTCTCCTTCCCTTCTTTCCTTCTCCTTCCCTTCTTCCCTTCTTCCCTTCTTCTTTCTCCGTATCTTTCCTTCTTCCCTTCTTTCCTTCTTCTTTCCTTTAAATCGTCGTGAATGTTTTACAAAAAAAGGATTATTTTCAAATCGAAATCTAGATCCAAAATTGTATAAACTTATAAAAATAGTAATTGATATTTAAAAAGATCATTAAAAACTGAAGCTTTTCAAATTTTTCAGCTTCAATTCACGTGTCCACAAATCGGTCAAACGCCAGTCGTTTCTCAGCAAGGGAACAACGTTTTCTGCAGTAATGCCGGACAAAGAGACGTTTGCCCAATCAAGTACTGTAATTCATCTTTAAAATATCAAAAAAACCCTCTAAATATCTAAGAAATATCTAAGAAAACTTAAATGCAAAGCTTTAAAAACACGAAACTAAACTTAAAACATCAAAAATGATCAACTTTTCTCGATTTTTACCACTTGGAAAAGAAAACTTTAAAGGGGGTATTAATCGCGGCCGGTTTAAAAATTTAAACAAAACTAGCTTAATTTTGGTTTATTTTGGTTTATTTTGGTTTGTTTTGGTTTGTTTTCGTTTGTTTTCGTTTGTTTTCGTTTGTTTTCGTTTGTTTTCGTTTGTTTTCGTTTGTTTTCGTTTGTTTTCGTTTGTTTTCGTTTGTTTTCGTTTGTTTTCGTTTGTTTTCGTTTGTTTTCGTTTGTTTTACTTAAAGCCCCCCCCCCCCTTTAATATTAATATATATTATTAATCGGTATTAATCGGGGGGTATTAATCGGGGGGTATTAATCGGGGGGTATTAATCGGGGGGTATTAATCGGGGGGTATTAATCGGGGGGTATTAATCGGGGGGTATTAATCGCGGCCGGGTGACGATCAAAAATTTTTTTTTTTTACGGCGACCACCTTTTTTTTATTTTAATATCGCTGATTTGATTATAAAAAGAATAAAAATCACCCCGGCTAGAGTGATTTGATGGGTTTACAAATTTTTGGAGACACTGCAAGGCTTGGAGAAAAACAAGATCATCACTCATCAGACACCTCAGCTAAAAGGCATCTATTTGAGAAAACCAAAACCACAAGCGCCCACAAATGGAAAAAAGATCTAATTGTGTTAATCAAAGCGCTGACGTCCTAGCGAAGACGTCCTACGGTGGAGGAGATCCAGTCACTTCTGGTGAAGATGCGCTGGAAATTGATAAGATAGGAAGCCGATTTGAGGAACTGCTGTACTTGAGCGACGATGAAAGTGAGCAAGAGGAAGAATTATAGATTAACAATTTATTGCCGTAGGACGTCTTCAGCGCTTTGATTGACACAATTAGATCTTTTTTCCATTTGTGGTCGCTTGTGGTTTTAGTTTTCTCAAATAATAGGTTGATGCATAAGTGTTTTCGTTTTTTTCGTACTTCTGTTAAAAAGTAACAAATTCACCAATTAATCTATAGTTTGCTCTATAAAAAAAGTGTTTTTTTTGTTCAATTTGCATCTTTTTTAAATGAATTTCGGTTCACTTTCAAGCAAATTCGAGAGTGAAAAACGCCTTTTTCGTAAAAATCTATAAAAAACTCTACGGAAAAATTGGCTGAATGAATTTCTCTGAAATTTTGGCGAAATATCAAACGTTTTGTTTTCTCTATCTTTTATCTATTGACACGAAGATAGGTTTTCTTTAGCTAAGGTGTCTAAACCGCATCATCGAGTTAGCCCTTTTTGACTACCCGACTTCATACTCTCAAGAAAATCCAGGCATTCAATATTTTTAAACCCGTTTTAATGTTATTTTGCAGAAAAATAATTGCTTTTTCTAATGAAATCAACCGTAGTTTAATTCGTGCATTTGTTGGCTTGAAACGGCAGACGAAAAGGAACGAAGACACTTATGCATCAACCTATTAGATGAACTAGATGAGGAACTAGATGAAGAACCAGATCAACAACTAGATGAAGAACTAGATGAAGAACCAGATCAACAACTAGATGAAGAACTAGATGGAGAACTAGATGAACTAGATGAAGAACTAGATTAACAACTAGATGAAGAACTAAATGGGGAACTTGATGAAGAATTTGATGAAGAACTAGATGAACTAGATGAAGAACTAGATGAAAAACTAGATGAAGAACTAGATGAACTAGATGAAGAACCAGATCAACAACTAGATGAAGAACTAGATGGAGAACTAGATGAACTAGATTTAGCAACTAGATGAAGAGCTAGCTGGAGAACTAGATGAAGAATTTGATGAAGAACTAGATCAACAACTTAATGTTATTTTGCAGAAAAATAATTGGTTTTTCTAATGAAATCAACCGTAGTTTAATTGGTGCATTTGTTGGCTTGAAACGGCAGACGAAAAGGAACGAAAACACTTATGCATCAACCTAATAGGTGCCTTTTAGCTGAGGTGTCTGATGAGTGACGATTTTGTTTTTCTCCAAGCCTTGCAGTGTCTCCAAAAATCTTGTAAACCCATCAAATCACTCTAGCCGGGGTGATTTTTATTCTTTTTATAATAAAATCAGCGATATTAAAATAAAAAAACAGGTGGTCGCCGTAAAAAAATTTTTATTGTCACCCGGCCGCGATTAATACCCCCCTTTAAGTAAAACAAACCAAAACAAACGAAAATTATGCTAGTTTTGTTTAAATTTACTTAAAATTTACATATTTCTTTCGTAAATCCAATAAATTTAGAAATAAGCAAAAAAAAAATTTCCAGTTCTTTATGCGTTTCGGCAGCGAACAGTCAAGGATTGCTCATTTGCTGCTTCAGCTCGCCGACCAATGTCCAAGTAAAACCATAAAGCCATATTGTTGTTTATTTCACACACAAAAAAGGATATTCATCTTTTGGATAAATGAAAACTCGAATACTGTAACCTCGTTAGCGCCTAGCTACCAAAATCCTAGAGGTGACTTAGCTTAAAAACGTCAAAATGTAGATTCTGGATGTCACAGAAGATTTTGAGATTGTTTCTGAACAGAAAAGTTGAAAGCAGTAGAAGCTATCGTCACCCGTAACGTCTACAGCAGCTTATCTACCATAATCCTAGAGGTGACTTAGCTTAAAAACGTCAAAATGTAGATTCTGGATGTCACAGAAGATTTTGAGATTGTTTCTGAACAGAAAAGTTGAAAGCAGTAGAAGCTATCGTCACCCGTAACGTCTACAGCAGCTTATCTACCATAATCCTAGAGGAGACCCAGCTTAAAAACGTCAAAATGTAAATCCTGGATGTCACAAGAGATTTTGAGATTGTATCTGAACAGAAAAGTTGAAAGCAGTAGACAGCTATCGTCACTCGTAACCGTATTATATCAAAATCTTTGTGCACCTTTTCAGCCGATTTGCCCGAACAACGGCCAACCGCAGCCGAGTCTTGGCGGCAGCTTTGTCGCTTGTGATATCACGAATCCGATTTGCAACACTGGGTACCTTGAATTTAGATAAGAAACATTTTAAAATAGAATATAATAGCACTTCAGTAAGTTTGGCTCTAATTTCCGGGTCTTTTGAAAGAATCCGGGTCTTTTGAAAGAATACGGGTCTTTTGAAAGAATACGGGTCTTTTGAAAGAACCCAGGTCTTTTGAAAGAACCCAGGTCTTTTGAAAGAACCCAGGTCTTTTGAAAGAACCCAGGTCTTTTGAAAGAACCCAGGTCTTTTGGAAGGGTCTTTTGAACGAGTCATCTCACTTTGAAAGCCTATAACTTTGTCTAGAGATTATATTTTTGCTAAATTTTTCTATCGTTGAATAGAGGAGATTTCAGGCTTTCAAATGATACCAAATAGAGCTTAACTGGCTTTTTTCATTTCCATGCAACGAGGCGACACGAGACCAGAGTTGGATTGGTCTCGGAGTTGGCTCTGATTTCTTTGGACTCATTTATCCAATCAACCTCTATTTGATCTCATTAAAAAGCCTGAAATCTCCACTATTCAAAGATACAAAAAGTTAAGAATAATATAATCTCTGGACAAAGTTATAGGCCTTCAAAGGGTGACGACTCGTTCGCTCCTCGAGTCGAATGGGCTTCATTTGCTCGGAGTTGGCTCTGATTTCTTTGGACTCATTTATCCAATCAACCTCTATTTGATCTCATTTGAAAGCCTGTCCTGTCCTCTGTAATTTTTATTTTGTAGATTCACGTGTGTCCGCGCGTCGAACGATTTTCAGACAACTCTCTGCTGTGCGCCGGGCACAAACCCGAGCAGTCCGATTTGCCCAAATCAGCAAACTGTTCAATTGGTGAGATTTGCTAGGGAAATAATTTGAATTGCTTGAAAAATTCAAAGACAAACGACTTTAGACAAACGGTCAGCCAACTTTCTGCAATCCGTCAATAATTTCCGGGTGCTCGACGGGTTTCACGTGTACCCAAGCGGCGAATATGGCTGGAACATTTATCTGTTGCAGTGCTGCTGGCATATCGACTTGTCCCGCGAATTTCAGCCCCAGTTTGGACAATCTTGGAAACCAGGTATTGGACTTGGTTTTTTCGTTGTTTTGTGATTTGTTTTCTAGATCTTCTGCACACCAACAAATACAGCCGGTTGCCCAGGCGGATCGCAGTGTCTCCAATCGCCGAATAATCCCGCGTTTTTCTTGTGTTGCAGGTGCTAATAAAAAAAGGCAAACTTACTAAAGAGCTGAACTTGTCTTTCTTTCTTTCTTTCTTTCTTCCTTTCTTTCTTTCTTTCTTTCTTTCAAATTTCGACATCAAAACTTTCGAATGTAGCCATTTCTTTAGAGTTTTTACTGTTAATTTCTTACTTTTCTTACTTTTCTTATTTTTCTGACTAGGAAAAGGCATGAATATCGAAGAAATTAAAAGCTAAACCATAATGCAATTAACTGTAAAATGTGGGAAGTTGATGGAAAAGAAAAATGAAAACAAAAAGCTGCATCAGGAACCGAACCCTGGTCTTTTGGTCTGAAGCCTATCGGGTTATCCATTAGGCCACGACCGCAGTCCGACTCGGAGAGTGAAGGAGCCTCTTAAAGCATCCGACTTTTAAAGCAACGCTTTCGATTGAAGTTTTCGATTGGTTTTTACCGATTTTCGATCGTGGTAGGTAGGGTATGGTGGTGGCCTAGTGGATAAGACTTTCGGCTTCAGCCCACGAGATCAGGGTTCGGCTCCTCCGGCAACTTTTTGTTTTTCTTTTTCTTTTGAACTTCTAGGATTTTGTAGTAGGAAAATTTGGGAGATTGTGATTTCAGATTCGGATTCCTCATATCCGATTTAAAGTAGGTGATGATCCAGACAAAAGCTTGAGTTCATGCCTTTCCCTAGTATTCCTTTCCTTCTTTATAGAGTTCGAGCTAGTTCTAGAATTCTCACTTTTCCAGGTCCACAATAGCGCCTCGAGTTTGTCCAAATGGGCAAAGTGCGTTGTTGGGTCCAAATGGGAATCTCGTTTCGTGCACTGGACCGGGAGCGCCTTGTAGTCAAGTGAGTTTCGGTGTTCCAGCGAAATTTCGTCATCGTCATTTCATACTCATCAATCCAATATAATAGAGAAGTCAGGCCCGGGGATTACTGTGCATTTTTGACGGCTGACAGGGTTTGCTTCTGACCTGGTTCAGAAAAATTGCCATAGACTGCCTTAGACTGGCTTAGACTGCCTTAGACTGCCGTAGACTGCCTTAGACTGCCTTAGACTGGCTTAGACTGCCGTAGACTGCCTTAGACTGCCTTAGACTGGCTTAGACTGCCGTAGACTGCCTTAGACTGCCTTAGACTGGCTTAGACTGCCGTAGACTGCCTTAGACTGCCTTAGACTGGCTTAGACTGCCGTAGACTGCCTTAGACTGCCTTAGACTGGCTTAGACTGCCGTAGACTGCCTTAGACTGCCTTAGACTGGCTTAGACTGCCGTAGACTGCCTTAGACTGCCTTAGACTGGCTTAGACTGCCGTAGACTGCCTTAGACTGCCTTAGACTGGCTTAGACTGCCGTAGACTGCCTTAGACTGCCTTAGACTGGCTTAGACTGCCGTAGACTGCCTTAGACTGCCTTAGACTGGCTTAGACTGCCGTAGACTGCCTTAGACTGCCTTAGACTGGCTTAGACTGCCGTAGACTGCCTTAGACTGCCTTAGACTGGCTTAGACTGCCGTAGACTGCCTTAGACTGCCTTAGACTGGCTTAGACTGCCGTAGACTGCCTTAGACTCCCTTAGACTTCCTTAGACTGCCTTAGACTCCCTTAGACTCCCTTAGACTCCCTTAGACTGCCTTAGACTGCCTTAGACTGCCTTAGACTCCCTTAGACTCCCTTAGACTCCCTTAGACTCCCCTAGACTCCCTTAGACTCCCTTAGACTGCCTTAGACTCCCTTAGACTCCCTTAGACTGCCTTAGACTGCCTTAGACTGCCTTAGACTCCCTTAGACTCCCTTAGACTCCCTTAGACTCCCCTAGACTCCCTTAGACCTAGACTAACAGCCAATCAAAAGTCATCTAGCCATTTCTAGCCGAACTACATTTGCACTTTATCCCCAGTGCTCGCTCAATATTACTGTTGTGGTGTGAGTACACAAGTTGCTGTTTGTGCCGACGGACGAGAGACCTATCAACAGGTAAAAAAAATCATCATAAAAATCATATAATATTATAAATCTTCTAAACAAAGCTCTAATATATGTCTCTAATTCCATATTTATTTCACTTAAAGAGCGATCTTTAGATTGCAAATAGCAAAAAGATTGCAAATTTTTGATTTTTGCACATTTCAAATGCAAATTCCTAATGTAAAATAGAGATAAAAAAAGAAAAATAAAAAATAAATTCGAATAATTACTCTGTAAAATCGTAAAAATTTGCCATTTTGCCATTCTTTAGATCTCCGGTTCAACATATTCCTGTAGTCCGCTTCAAGTTCCCACCGGTTGCCCAATCGGCTACGATTGTGCACAAAGCAGCGTTCTGGGTGAGTGGATAGGCTTGATCTGTAATTTGTGTTCATTGTAAACAAATTCCTTCTAGTGCACTGGATCGTTATTTTTTCGTGAGATTTGATGAAAAATGAATGATTGAATGTTTGAATGAAAGATGAGGCTAAAAGTTTGAATATAAAAAGCTTTGCTGGGAAAGATTGTAATCTGTATACGATAGAAAAACTCATCCTTCTTACTATACTGTAATTGTTGCACAGTAAGATCTGTGCCTACAGAAGAGCTCTGCCTACTGTAAGATCTGTGCTTACAGAAGATCTGTACCTACTGTCAGATCTGTACCTACTCTCAGATCTGTACCTACAGAAGATCTGTACCTACTGTCAGATCTGTGCTTACAGAAGATCTGTACCTACTGTCAGATCTGTACCTACAGAAGATCTGTACCTACAGAAGATCTGTACCTACTGTCAGATCTGTGCTTACAGAAGATCTGTACCTACTGTCAGATCTGTACCTACAGAAGATTTGTACCTACAGAAGATCTGTACCTACTGTCAGATCTGTGCTTACAGAAGATCTGTACCTACTGTCAGATCTGTGCTTACAGAAGATCTGTACCTACTGTCAGATCTGTGCTTACAGAAGATCTGTACCTACTGTCAGATCTGTGCTTACAGAAGATCTGTACCTACTGTCAGATCTGTAGCTACTGTCAGATCTCTACCTACAGAAGATCTGTACCTACAGAATCTCTACCTACAGTACCTACAGAAGATCTCTACCTACAGTAAGATCTGTATCTACTGTCAGATCTGTACCTACAGTAGGAACCATCCCTACAAGCAACTTACAGTACTTATCAATCCAAGAATCAACTTCAGGCACCTACGTCTGTTGCCGAACGATCGTCACAACAATCTCTCCATTGGTTGGTTATAAGTTGATGCTTGGTTGATGAGCTGATGCTTGGCTGGCTAGATATGCTTGGCTAGATTCTATATTCAACCGAGATGTTTTTTAATTTAATCTTTACTATATTTTGAGGGTCACAGCTAAAAAAAAACTTTTCAGAATCAATGCCCAAGCGGTTGGAATGGCTATCGAAATGAAGTCACTGGTGAGAGTCGCACGTGCACTGGGCCCTTTGATATGAGGTAATTTCTAAAGCAGATTTAGAATGTCTAGAACATCTAGAACATCTAGAACATCTAGAACATCTAGAATCTCTAGAATCTCAACTTTAAAGCATGTCTAAGACATCACAAAGAATTATTTAGTTGTCCAACCGGCTACTCTTGTACTCCGACGACAAACTCGTTTCTTGGCGGTACTTCGTCATTCGCTTGTTGCAGGTAGGTTCTCAAAGCCGAGTCTGTACTTTGTACCCTCAGAAACACAGCAGGTTTACTAGAGCCTTTACTAGGTGTTTACTAGGTTTACTAGAGCCTAGAGCCTAATCCTTTAATACCGTAAACTCAACGTGTTAAAGACCATGCGTTTCCGAGAGCACAAAGTGCAGTCGACTCATACAGTGCTGGATTGCTGTAAACTGATCCAGACTGAATCCAGACTACCGTAATCCAGACTGAATCCAGACTACCGTAATCCAGACTGAATCTAGACTACCGTAATCCAGACTGAATCCAGACTACCGTAATCCAGACTTGAAAACCTACTACATAAATCTCTACAAAGATTCCCCTTGCATATCCCTGCATATCCCTGTAAAATTCAGTTCCAGATTGGCCACTACACTTCGTTGTATCACTGGGCAACCGCTACTAATGAACAATCAACCACGTTTATGTTCTTCACAACGACTCAATCAATGTCCACCCTCTTACACGTGTCAACAATCGACTGTGGTTTGTCGAAATTTGCATTTAAACTTCAATCTTTATCTATATTTATGCATTTAGCCATCGATCACGATTTGCTGCACCAATATTCCTTTTCCATTGTCGAGGTGAGTTTCAGTTTACTTTAGCTTACAGGACTCGCTAGTCAACTTCTTCAAAGCTACCGTAATCCCGATCTCACGTCTAAAGCACGTTCCTTAGCTACCGTAAACTTAAATCCTTGTCTAAAACGTTTTCCAAAACATGGCTTTTAAAAAAAAGCTACCATCACCTCGTTTTCTAAAAGTTTCTTTTAGCAAAAGCTATCGTAATCCCAAATCCGTGTCTAAACGTGTCATTTAGCCAAAAGCTACTGTAATTCTAAAGCATATATTCTCATCAAAAAGCTTTCGTAACCTGTCTAAAGGCAACCGGAGTACGGTGGCTTTTTTCTATCTTTCAAACAGTGTACTTTGTACTTAAACGAACCCTTTCTAGTGCACTTAAACATTTTTAGGGACAGCAGTTTACTGTGCTCGGACGGTTCGCAGCCGGCTTTCGTCGGGACAAGTGTTTGTTTTGAATAATTTTTTTATTAGTTAAACAGTTAGTTGATAGTTATAGTTAAATAGTTAACTATTTAAGTATTTAACTAGGCAACTACTTACCTAGGTAACTACTTACCTAGTTAACTACTTACCTAGTTGACTACTTACCTAGGTAACTACTCACCTAGTTAACTACTTACCTAGGTAACTACACTTATCTAGGTAACTACTTAACTAGGTAACTACTCACCTAGTTAACTACTTACCTAAGTAACCACTTACCTAAGTAACTACTTACCTAAGTAACTACTTACCTAAGTAACTACTTACCTAAGTAACTACTTACCTAGGTAACTACTTACCTAGGTAACTACTTAGCTAGGTAACTACTTACCTAAGTAACTACTTACCTAAGTAACTACTTAACTAGTTAACTAGGCAAATCACGCGCACATTCTCAGAAATAGCTACAATATCAGCTACATTATCAACCACATTATCAGCTACATTATCAGCCATATTATCAACCACACTATCAACCACGCTGTAGTTAAAACTTTCCCTTTATCAGGTGCAATACTGCAGTGATGTGGGTGTTCAATCGACTTGTCCCTCATCGTATTTGTGTCAACAAAACACTTCAGGGCGTAATTTATGCTGTAGGGTTAGGCGGTGAGTGAGGCTTCATTTGAATCTGAGTGAAGATCATTTGAATCTGTTTTTAAACAGATTCAAATGATTCAAAGCATTTTGTCTCTAAAAAATCCGATTCTAGAGCTCGAATCGCGTCGAGTAAACGAATCGAGAAAAGCGGGACGAACGACTCGCAATGGGTTTGCGGAGTGGGCACGATTGCTCAATTGAACGGCGGTGATCCGATCAAATGCGGTGATGATCGGGATTGCAAAAAGGTAAGGCGACTGGGCTTGTTCTAATGTTTAAAATCGTCTTCTATTTTGGTGTCTACATTAGGCAAATATGATATTTCAATAAAAAACGGTGCCTTTTGCTCGAATCTTATTCAAAAACACGAATCAGATCTAGATCAGATCTAGACCAGATCTAGATCTAGATCAGATCTAGATCTAGATCTGATCTGATCTGAGTCGAGATCAATCGGGGATGGTCTAGATCTAGATCTAGACCAGATCTAGATCTAGATCTGGTCTAGATCTAGATCTAGATCAGATCTAGATCAGATCTAGACCATCCCCGATTGATCTCGACTCAGAACTACTCTGAAAATGAAACTTTAGTCCAGATGATGGCCATTTGTTAAGATTTATTGACTAGAACTAGAATCGTAACCCATTTTCAGCCAAACTCCTGTCTTCAATCACCTTTCCATTCAAATTCTTCTTTCTGTTGTCAGCGAGCCGTTTGCCCGTCCGGAGTTTCTTTAGCGAAAATGGGCAGGTTGGCTAAGATTGATACCCAAAAATGGAATTACAACTGAGTAGAATAGCTAAATGATGGCTTTATTTGACTCAGAATTTCACGCTGAATCCAAATCTCCTTTCCGTTTTTAATTTGAAGCACTCTATCAAAAGTTATAAGCTTGTAAAGTTTTGATAGTTGATTTGATAGTTTTTTGATGTTAATTTGGCTCTGTTTAATAATAATTAATTAAAAGAAAAGAAAATCTTTTATGAGAAGTAATTTAAGAGAAAATTTTATCTAAAAATAGAGAAGAATTAGATTTACAAAGCGAAGAAAGCAAAAGAAAAGAGTTTTTGATGGAGTGGAACTAGAGAGGGTTTTCCTTTGGATTCTAACACATTACCATTTAGCTACCGCAAGCAAATCCACATTATAAATGCTTATAAATCAAAAAGCTATCATTAAAGCATTAAAAATCATTAAAAATCATCAAAAATCATCAAAAATCATCAGCAATCATCAGCAATCATCAACAATCATCAGCAACCATCAACAATCATCAGCAACCATCAACAATCATCAGCAACCATCAACAATCATCAGCAACCATCAACAATCATCAGCAACCATCAACAATCATCAGCAACCATCAACAATCATCAGCAACCATCAACAATCATCAGCAACCATCAACAATCATCAGCAACCATCAACAATCATCAGCAACCATCAACAATCATCAGCAACCATCAACAATCATCAGCAACCATCAACAATCATCAGCAACCATCAACAATCATCAGCAACCATCAACAATCATCAGCAACCATCAACAATCATCAGCAATCATCAACAATCATCAGCAATCATCAACAATCATCAGCAATCATCAACAATCATCAGCAATAATCAACAATCATCAGCAACCATCAACAATCATCAGCAATCATCAGCAATCATCAGCAACCATCAACAATCATCAGCAACCATCAACAATCATCAGCCATCATCAAAAAACTATCATCTAAACATCAATCAAAACTTTGCCCGCTTATAACTTTTGACAGAGTGCTCTATACCAGAAACGGGAAAGATATTTCGATTCAGCGTGAAATTCTGCGTCGAATAGCCCATTGTCGATGTCATTTTGGCTTTTTACATTCCTATAAACCTTTAGAACTTGTCAAAATGATGGAGACTGCGGAGAGAACTCGCAATGCCAGCGATCAGCCAATATTCCGCGTGAGTTTCTCACAAGCAGGCAAACTTTTTGATCTCTTCTAGGCATTTCTCTCTGCTGTGCGACAAAAGTTCCAGTGGTAACACGTTGCACGAATAGAGAAACGCAAATGATCCAAGGTCGTCCAGTGTCCTGTATTGTGGTCAGTGCTTAGAGAATTCGAAACAAAGCTTAATCCGAACAGCGGTTGCATGGGACTCGAGTAGCTCAGTGGTGGTGTGCTCGCCCGTTAAGCGGCAGGTCCCAGGTTCCAGGAATCAGAAACAAAGCTTCTAGTCTACTAGAATCCCTAGTTTTTCTCGTGTTTTTTTTTTAAAAGAAACTAGTGTGGAAAGAATTTTAAGCATAAAATTAGTCAAAAAAAAATGGTTACATTAGATTTAAAATGTGTTCCAAATGTTAAAAATATGTTTAAAAGGTGTTTAAAACGTTGAAAAGGTGTTTAAAATGTTTAAAATGTGTTGAAAAAATGTTCAAAACGTTTAAAATGCCTTTCAAATGCTTTAAATATGTTTTAAATATGTTTTAAATGTGTTGAAAAGGTGTTTGAAATGTTTGAAATGTGTTTAAAGTGTGTTTAAAGTGTTTAGAAGGTGTTTAAAATGTTTTAAGCATATTTAAAATGTGTTTAAAACGTTTAAAATGTGTTTAGAAGGTGTTTGAAATGTTTTAAATGTGTTTAGAAGGTGTTTAAAACATTTTAAATGCGTTTAAAAGGTGTTTTAAATGTTTAAAATGCGTTGAAAAGGTGTTTTAAATGTTTAAAATGCGTTGAAAAGGTGTTTAAAATGTTTGAAATTTGTTTAAAGTGTGTTTAAAACATTTTAAATGTGTTTAAAAGGCGCTTAAAACATTTTAAATGCGTTTAGAAGGTACTTAAAACATTTTAAATGTGTTTAGAAGGTGTTTAAAACATTTTAAACGCATTTAAAATGTGTTTAAAATGTTTAAAAAGCGTTTAAAACGTTTTACATCTTTTAAATCTTTGAAATGTTTAAAATTTTCATCAAATTTCAACGAAATCACAAGCTTTTTTCAAGATTTTTTTTGAAGAAATCATAAAATTAGATCCCAAAATTAGTTCTTCTTTCCAAATCATTTTCGTGTTTCTTTTTCTACAAATTCCACATCAATTTATTAGATTAACTTTAGGATGAATCGTTGTGTGATCGAGGCTTCGAATGTTCAACAAAAACCACTACAAAAAGATCAATTTGTTGTCAGAAAACAATCACAAATCAAACGGAAATTTGTGGAGAAAACCGGTGAGTGAAAAGTTTTTTTCTAATCAGTAAAGGAGACTCACTATTGTACTATTGTAAAGGTTGGAAATTCGTCAGAGTACTGTATGGTAGGACAGAGTACTGTAGGACAGAGTACTGTAGGACAGAGTATTGTAGGACAGGGTACTGTAGGACAGAGTACTGTAGGACAGAGTACTGTAGGACAGAGTACTGTAGGACAGAGTATTGTAGGACAGGGTACTGTAGGACAGGGTACTGTAGGACAGGGTACTGTAGGACAGGGTACTGTAGGACAGGGTACTGTAGGACAGGGTACTGTAGGACAGGGTACTGTAGGACAGGGTACTGTAGGACAGGGTACTGTAGGACAGGGTACTGTAGGACAGGGTACTGTAGGACAGGGTACTGTAGGACAGGGTACTGTAGGACAGGGTACTGTAGGACAGGGTACTGTAGGACAGGGTACTGTAGGACAGAGTACTGTAGGACAGAGTACTGTACTTTGTGGTAAGTTGAAGGCCACCGCTTTCGTCAGTATCAGTCAAGTACTTTAAGGATATCCGTATCCTTAAAGTACTTAAAATCTAGTATTTACTAGTACCAGAGCCACGAATCCAGCACTACAGAGTAATCAAAAAGTTCCCGCACACTTGTAAATGATTGATTTTCTTTTGCAGTGCCGTCTTCTACGTTTCCCCATCCACGGAAAAGCTTCTCTTTTGCGATGACACCGGTTACATCTGTCCATTAGACTTTCAGGTAATCACGGCGATAAACCAGATCCATTCTGTACCCGCTCAATATTTGATTCCAGTGTACTCGATCTCCCGATCTCGATCGTTTCGTCTGTTGTTCGCCGATTCCTCGATGTCCCGAGAGTGGACAGAAAGCGGTGTTACGCGAAGGGAAACAGATTAGGTGAAAATGAGAAGATAAATTAGTGTTCCGAGCAAAAGGAGGCCGTCACCGGGATTGAACCCGGCGCCTGCCGCTTAGCGGGAGAGCACACTACCACGCTAGTCGCTAGTCGAGATGCAAGCGACTGCTTGTCAAGATTGAGCTTTATCCCTTATTCATCAACCAAACTTCTAAAGTACTTTTTGCTTTTCCGAGTAAAAAAAGGGCGCACCGGGATCGAACCCGGAACGTCCCGGCTTGGCGGGCTACCACTGAGCTACTCGAGTGGCATGCAACTGCTGTCAAGATTGAGCTTTATCCCTTATTCATCAATTCCACAGTACCTTTTTGCTTTTTTAAGCAAAAAGAGGTCGTGGCCGGGATCGAACCCGGGAGGTGCTGCTTACCGAGCGACCAATCTACCATTGAGCTATACCGAAATCGATTGCTCTCCGCGAGAGAATGGCTTTATCCCCTTATTCATTAAAAAAGCTAACTTTCTACTTACATTACTTTTGAGAGTTTGATTATTAGTGAATTCTAAATTAAATGCTGAAATTTGTAGGCTAAAGAGTACGCTAATTAATCAAGGTACGGTAATCAGACAGTAATCATACAGTAACCAGACGGTAATCAGACAGTAATCAGACAGTAATCAGACAGTAATCAGACAGTAATCAGACAGTAATCAGACAGTAATCAGACAATAATCAGACAGTAATCAGACAGTAATCAGACAGTAATCATACAGTAACCAGACGGTAATCAGACAGTAATCAGACAGTAATCAGACAGTAATCATACAGTAACCAGACGGTAATCAGACAGTAATCAGACAGTAATCAGACAGTAATCATACAGTAACCAGACGGTAATCAGACAGTAATCAGACAGTAATCAGACAGTAATCATACAGTAACCAGACGGTAATCAGACAGTACTCGCTATACGCTAATCGAAAGGCGCTTTAAAAGCTCAAATTCGGGATAATTGCAATCGTTTCCAGATGCCTTTCCGATAAAGATTGCCCAGAAGCGATGTGCACACCGACGAACGTATCAAATTTACGCATTTGCTGTCAATCTAATTAAAGATCGAATCATTCAGTCATTCAGATTACTGTAACTTTTTCACATTTCACATTTAATCTATCTAAATTATTGTTTTCCTTTTCCCAAAGCTTCAAAGATATTACGGGCAAATTTTTCTTTTGTTTTTTTTTGTTTTTAAAAAAATTGAAATCTTTAACTTTCTTTTGAATAAATATACTATTATTTAAGGATTAATAAGCAATAAATTTACATTAAAAGCTTAAAAGCTGATTTTTAAGCTTAAAAAGTGAGTTTAAAGATGAAAAAACGAGGCTTATCCGTTGCCTCAAAATGAATGGAAGTGAATGGATGTGAATGGATGTGAAATGAATTTACAGCGCAAGAAATTTCGAGCGCTCAACGGAATCCGTTGATCTTGTGCTTGTTGAAGTGCGTTTCCAAATAAATATTACCTAATACTAATGACTTATTTGAATAGGCGAATTGATGAAGATTGACGAATTTTGTGCGATAATCGAACAAAGAGGCACAAGACGGAGAAACAAAGAACAAAGAGGCACAAGACTGGGCACAAGACTGGGCACAAGGCTGGGCACAAGACTGGGCACAAGACTGGGCACAAGACTGGGCGCAAGACTGGGCACAAGACTGGGCACAAGACTGGGCACAAGACTGGGCACAAGACTGGGCACAAGGCTGGGCACAAGACTGGGCACAAGACTGGGCACAAGACGCAGATCGTTTCAACGCCTAAGTACCGCTTTCATTTTCTCTAATAGTATTTTCCCCGCCCAGCCGAGTTGATGACTATTTGACGGTTTCCAAGCTTTCACACTCTAATTCCCCACAAGATTACAATCAAAAAAAAAAGCGAGCTCGTTTAATCCGGCTGCACCGCTGCAACAAATCCCCTTTAGACTATTTCAAACATTCGTGGCGAAGAGGTGCCTCAAGATGCGATGATTGGCCCGAAAGTTTCAGCTGTTGAGGGTAGAGTTTAAGCTAAACATCATTTTTAATCGATTAATCGAAAAAAAAACAATACTATTAAAGCACTAGAATATAGTAATCTATCTATAAAATATAAAATCTATAATAAAAAGCGAGTTCGCTTAATCCTGCTGCACCGCTACCTACCCTCAGTCTGCCTAGGTTGGTATTCGTTGTGAAGATCATAGGAAATAAGGAAATAAGTCGAGCGGGCATTGTTTCCCATTGGTAATAAGGGGGGTGTTGTCCGGGTGTTGTCCGCGTGTTGTCCGGGTGTTGTCCGGGTGTTGTCCGGGTGTTGAGCGGGTGTTGAGCGGGTGTTGTTTATCTGTTGTATAATGCTGCAATCAGTTGAGCCGCGTAAAAGACGATCATTTCCAAATTTTCCAAATTTTCCAAACGAGAGCTCGAGTTGGGTAACTGAATTTTACGATTTCAGAAAGAAGAAATTGGTCGGCGATTTCTTTGCGACGTTTGGATGAAAAGGAAAACAACTTTTTAGAAACGAATGACAAAAGAATGATCTAATACGGTTCCTATTTTGATTAGGGGTTCCAATACGGTTCGAATACGGCTCCTATTTTGATCTAATACGGTTCCAATACGGTTCCAATACGGTTCTCAACCTTTCACTTATGAAAGAATTTGCAAATCGATTTGCAGCGTTAACTTCCAAGAGCTAACTTCCAACAGCTAGCTTCCAAGAGCTAACTTCCAAGAGCTAACTTCCAACAGCTAACTTCTAAGAGCTAACTTCCAACAGCTAACTTCTAAGAGCTAACTTCCAACAGCTAACTTCTAAGAGCTAACTTCCAACAGCTAACTTCCAACAGCTAGCTTCTAAGAGCTAACTTCCAAAAGCTAGCTTCCAACAGCTAACTTCCAAGAGCCAACTCTTTTCCACAAAGCTAACTCTTTTCTATTTCTCCAAAACCCATTTCATCGTTCTTTCTTTATTAATTTTCAATTTTTGTGTAAAATTTGTGATTTCCGAACTTTTTTCTTTAAAAAGATCCATTTTCTATTAATGATTTAAATAAATTTCTGAAAAAAGCTTTGAAAAAGACGAAATTTACAAATGACGATTAGTTTAAAGTATGCAATTTTCAAGATTCATTGAAAATGCAAGAGGTTCGCGTGCGTTGGGGTGAGAAATTTCGGCACATTTTAGTCATTTAGTGATTTTGTCGGGCGAAACCCTGGCAACCATTGCTGAAAGTTTTTGAAAGTATTTTGAAAGTATTTCCATATTCTGACTATCTTTTGCTAAAATGGTAAGATTTTGGGGGAGAGTTTTGCGTTAAAGCTTTTTCAGTTTGGTTTCATTCACGAGTCGATTCGGCAGCTGATCATACGGAAATACGGCGAAGATTTGTGGTTGCAGATATTGTGAGTCATGGCAAGGGGATCGGGGATCTAGAATCTAGAATCTAGAGCCTAGAATCTAGAGTCTAGAATCTAGAGTCTAGAATCTAGAGTCTAGAATCTAGAATCTAGAATCTAGAGTCTAGAATCTAGAGTCTAGAATCTAGAATCAGGAATCTAGAGTCTAGAATCTAGAGCCTAGAATCTAGAGCCTAGAATCAGGAATCTAGAATCTAAAGCTGACCAAATCAAGTCATAACTTGCCTAGGTCTAGCTCATATCCCATTACCGTAATCCTAGCGCTTAGCCAAGCCCGGCTTGCAGATCAAGATCAAGATCAAGAATTCAAAGCCAAAGCCTGTCTAGGTCTAGGCTTCCCGGGGCTGCAGTAAAGTCAGGCCAAGCCGTAAGCCAGCCTAGATCTGGTTTCAGGTCTTGCTTCTGAATTGACTGGGTTTGGAAAAAGGCTTTTGCTTATAGTTAGTGTTTTTTAAAGCAAGCTGTAATCTAGCTGTAAAACTGTTATAGTTAGAGCCCAATTGTGCGAATTATAAAACTCCAAATGAGCTATGAATAAGAATAATTGCTCTTTTCTTCAAACCCAAGCGAATTGGCGAATCTAGAGCTAGATCTAGAGCTAGAGCTAGAGCTAGATCTAGAGCTAGAGCTAGATCTATAGCTAGAGCTAGATCTAGAGCTAGAGCTAGACCTAGAGCTAGAGCTAGACCTAGAGCTAGAGCTAGACCTAGAGCTAGAGCTAGACCTAGAGCTAGAGCTAGACCTAGAGCTAGAGCTAGACCTAGAGCTAGAGCTAGCCGCTTTGGCTCGAAAGCTCGATCTCTGATCAGAATTCCTTCATTTTTACATTTAACACTCAAATCAAGACAAGAAGCACTAATTTAATAATAAAAAATTCAGATCAAGAGCTGGTTTCGAGAACGGTAAAGAAAACGTCGTTAACCATTACTACAATGATTCGGACACGTATCTCTTGGTAGACTCTGTGAGCGCGATTACGAGTGAGTATTGTTAGCTGAATCAACAAGTGTTCACCAAAGAAATGAGACGTTACAGCAACGAAAGTCATTTGTAAAAGGGGCTGGATTCATTCTTGTCTTATAATTGCTCATTCAGATCAGAAGCCGGTTTCAAAGACCTAACACAAAGCCAATTAAATCAGATCAGATTCGAAATTAGACTTATCGTTACCGTAAGAGCTTAGAGTCACCGTAAGAGCTTAGGGTCACCGTTACAGTATCAGATCAGCTCTGAAATCTTAGAGCTTTCCCGAGAGCAAGTCTGGGAGATGTACGGCACGTTTCTGATCGTTTACACGATGGAGTTGGGCTGGGACGAGCTGGTGCGCAGTATGAGCCCGAATTTGAAGGTTAGATCGATAAAGATATCTACAGTATGACATTCAGCTTACCGTAATCTAAACTTACACCTTTCAGGGTTTTCTCGACAGTCTAGACTCTTTGCACTACTTTATCGATCACGTTGTGTACAAGGCGAATTTGAGGGGCCCGTCTTTTCGGTGAGGATTTGGGAGTAAAGCTTATCTACTGAAATGATTAGATGTTCTAGCTCTAGACCTAGCTCTAGATCTAGCTCTAGCTCTAGATCTAGCTCTAACTCTAGCTCTAACTCTAGCTCTAACTCTAGCTCTTTTAGATCCTGAACAAAAATATCAAGTTCCCAATTTTTCCCTCAACTTTGATGCACTTTAAATCGGGAACCATACATTGAAGTCTCCAAGTGTTATAGTGATTCGGAAAGCTTGAGACGAGATCTATAAGATGACATTTTTGATTTTTCGATTTGCTTTCATTTTTTGACCGATTTAGGTCAAAGTAGATCCTCAAAAATTCACTTTTTCATATGGATTCCGTGGTCGAATCATTTTCAAATATGTAGATACAGAAATCTTATGCAAATTTTTCTAGATGCGAGCAGAACGTGGACGGGACGATCACTCTGCATTATTTCACCGGACGGCCTGGTCTATACCCGATTGTGAAAGGTGTGCAAAGATAGAAATGAAGTAAAAAAGAATGAAGTCGATAGCAATCAAGCTCTCCTCTCAAGCTCCCCTCTCAAGCTCCCCTCTCAAGCTCCCCTCTCAAGCTCCCCTCTCAAGCTCTCCTCTCAAGCTCCCCTCTCAAGCTCTCCTCTCAAGCTATCAAGATAAGTAAATCCATGTCTAGGAGTGCTGAAAGAGGTGGCTCGTTGCGTGTTCAACATCGAGATCTCGTTGACGATCACTGGTAGAACCCAGCGCTCTGTGCAGACGGCGAGTGGCGGAGAGAGAATCGAGGAGCACGTCATTTTCCTCATCAAGGTAAAATAGAAACCTTTAAACTAGAAGAATATGGGGTAAATTTGGTTTTGAAAATCATTAAATTGCAAAGAAATCTTTCTATCTTTTTCTAAAGAAGAATCTCTCTGATTAGTGTTTTTCTGTATTTCTTTAACAAAAAAAACCTCTTAAAAGATGTTTTAACGTTTCAATGTTTTCGTTTTACTATTTTAATCACTATTTCTCGTTTATTTTAACCGTAAAAGTCTACCTAATTGACCTAAAAGTTAGCTTTATCTTTAAAAAACCCTTTTTTTCCCTTTCTCTTACAAAAAATGATCGAAAATTTGCTTTTTTACAATAAAGTAACAATGAAATAAAGTAAAACTTTCAACTTAACCTATCCAAAACATCGTTAAACATCTTTTAAAGTTAAAAAAAGTAAAAGAAAATATGAAAACGATAATAAATTAATGAAAAAATTCACAAAATTCACAAAATTGAATAAAATTGAATCAAAAAAATGATTCGATTCGATAAAAACATATAAAAGAATGAAGCAATTAGGAAATCGATTCGAAATGAGCGTTAACAAATCCCCTTTAGACTATTTCAAACACTCGTGGCGAAGAGGTGCCTCAAGATGCGATGATTGGCCCGAAAGTTTCAGCTGTTGAGGGTAGAGTTTAAGCTAAACATCATTTTTAATCGATTAATCGCAAAAAACAATACTATTAAAGCACTAGAATATAGTAATTTATCTATCTATCTATCTATCTATCTATCTATCTATCTTCCTATCTATCTATCTTTCTATCTTTCTATCTATCTATCTTTCTATCTATCTATCTTTCTATCTATCTATCTTTCTATCTTTCTATCTATCTATATATCTATCTATCTATCTTTCTATCTATCTATCTTTCTATCTATCTATCTATCTATCTATCTATCTATCTATCTATCTATCTATCTATCTATCTTTCTATCTTCCTATCTATCTATCTATCTATCTATCTATCTATCTATCTATCTATCTATCTATCTATCTATCAATCAATCTATCTATCTATCAATCAATCTATCTATCTATCAATCAATCTATCTATCTATCTTTCTATCTATCTATCTATCTATCTATCAAAATCCTAGGCGAGGGTGAGCCGTTGCACATGTCGTTGAGCGATTTCTCGACACTCCTTCCGTATCACGTGATCTTCGATGAGGATTGCAAATTGGTGCAAGTCGGGAAAGAGTTGTAGTAAGAGATTTTGGGAAATAGATAATAATCTAGAGAAAATCTAGATAATCTAGATAATCTAGATTAACTAGATAATCTAGAGGTAATCTAGATTATCTAATTATCTAATATTATCTATTATTTTTACAGCAATCACGTGCCGAAAGATCTCCTCCAACCGGGTACTCCAATCATGCGAATGTTCGAGTTAACACGACCGCAAATCCCTTTTGATTTTGATAATGTTAGTGAAAAGGGAACGATTAAATAATCCTTTTTACGTAATCTTTTATCTAATCTATCTACCTTTTTATCTCTTTCGTAAATCAGCAAAAATCAAAGTAAAGTAAAGTAAAGTCTAATTTCTCTATAACGATATTACGATAAAAAATCACTACACTACTGGATAATGAAATTTTTGAGCTTAAAGCTGTAGAAAACTATCGTTGTAGAAACTTGGAGATGGTTGACTGCAAGACGGAAAACTGTTCCGCTAACTGGTTCTGGCTGAGGCCTTGCTTTTTTGCCGTTAAGGATAGCTTGTTGTGTAAGCACTTGAAGATCCTTACATCCTTGTCGCTTGCACCAAAAAAACAGTAATTATAATCATTTTGCCTAGCTCTAGCTCTGGCTCTAGCTCCAGCTCTAGCTCTAGCTCTAGCTCTAGATCTAGCTCTGGCTCTGGATCTAGCTCTAGCTCTAGCTCTAGCTCTAGATCTAGCTCTAGCTCTAGCTCTAGCTCTAGCTCTAGATCTAGCTCTAGATCTAGCTCTAGATCTAACTCTAGATCTAGCTCTAGATCTAGCTCTAGCTCTAGCTCTAGCTCTAGCTCTAGATCTAGCTCTGGCTCTGGATCTAGCTCTAGCTCTAGATCTAGCTCTATATCTAGCTCTAGATCTAACTCTAGATCTAGCTCTAGATCTAACTCTAGATCTAGCTCTAGATCAAGCTCTAATACTGTATATAAGGATTTTAAAACATTCTAAAACGTTTACATTTTCTGCGTAGCTGCTCTGCACCAAATTGGACTGACTTGCAGCTGCAAGTCATTCTAAATGATTGGTATCATTTAGAATTTCAAAATCTTTATTGAAAAGCCGGTAGATCGTTTGGTTTTGTTTTGAGTTTAAAATTAGAAAGATTAGAAAGATTAGATAAAAGAAAATAAAGACAAGAATACGGTAGAGGGAAGCGGGTTTTAGAAAAATGAATTCGTTTTAAAAACGTTTTAAAATGCCTTAGGTGTGCAATTTCATCAACGCCGTTTTCGTGTTACAAGTGCGCACGGCGCCCACCGATTTGCGACGGCAACGCGAGGCTGAGTGAGACATACTTTTTCGAAAGTTATCAGCAATCATTGACAAATTCAAGTGTGCCTATTGGATTCGCAATTGATTTAGGCACTATAAATCTACGAAAATGACGAAGTGTTACACTGTAAACGCATGTAATTTGGTTTAAATCTATATTGAATTGGCATGTTCTACTCAAAAACTTGCTTCAAATCTGCCGGATTCACATGTTCTATAGCTTAAAAAAAAGAGAATCTCAAGAGCTTTCGAATGGCTTAAAGAACATTCAAAAATCTGAATTCTAAAGAAAGTTACAGTGGTTTGTGGTTTGAGTACACGCGAGTACGATCCTTTTCGGCTTTCGACCACTGTAACTTTCTTTAGGATTAAGATTTTTGAATGTGCTTTAATCCATTCAAAAGCTCTTGAAATTCTCTGTTTTTTAAGCTATAGAACATGTGAATCCGGAAGATTTGATGCACGTTTTTGAGCGTTTACAGTGTAACATTTCGTCACTCTCGTCACTTTCGTCACTTTCGTAGATTTATAGTGCCCAAAATCAAACTGCGAATCCAATAGGCATAGAAAAAATAGAGAATCTCTTTAGCTTTCGAATGGCTTAAAGAAAATTCAAAAATCTTAATTCTAAAGAAAGTTACAGTGGTCGAAAGTCGAAAAGGATCTTACTCGCGCGTACTCAAACTACAAACCACTGTAACTTTCTTTAGAATTAAGATTTTTGAAGGTTTTTTAATTCATTTGAAAGCTCTTGAGATTCTCTATTTTTTAAGCTATAGAACATGCGAATTCAAAAGATTAAAACCAAATTACAAGCGTTTATAGTTTACGTTTGTAGTTTGTTTGTAGTTTGTAGTGTAGTTTGTAGTGTAGTTTAATTTGTAGTACGACTCTAGCTATAGAAAAACATTTCCAGAGCTGCTCAGGCTGGCGAGGGTTATTCATCCGGTGCTCATTTAAAGCTGAAGGGTCAAATGATGAGATTGGCGTCGGGGAAATTTATCATTTACCTCTGCTCACCGTATGTGACATCTATTCAAGAGTTAATGGATTTCGGGATGAGGTTTGGAGCTGAACTCTTTAGTCCTTTGTCTCTAGCCGCCGATTTGTAGCGTTTTGGCGCCGATCTCGACCAAATCCAGGCTAGAAATTGGCCTGGATTTGGCCTCGATGTGTTTAAATCGCCTTGCTTCTAGGTTGACAGCGATGCCGCTTCACGACGCGACACGCGATTTGATTCTGCTCAATCAGCAACGACTTAGCGATGTGGAAGTGAAGTTGGTTGAGGGGAATATTTAGAAAACTTCTAAACTTCTAAACTAGAAGTTCATTGTAATTCGATAAGCATCCAGGATTTCATTTTAGTCTCCAACTTGAAGCGAACAACGAGCAACTTGAGGCAATGGCCAAGGATTTGGAGGTAGAATTGGGGGAATCCTTGGGGGTGAACAGTGTCTAACAGCTTTTAACGGGTTACAGTAGCTTGCACTAGCCTTTAGCGGGTTACTGTAGCTTGCACTAGCCTTTAGCGGGTTACAGTAGCTTGCAATAGCTTTTAGCGGGTTACTGTAGCTTGCAATAGCCTTTAGCGGGTTGCTATAGCTTGCAATAGCCTTTAGCGGGTTACTGTAGGTTACAGTAGCTCTTAACGGATTACTGTAGCTTGCAACAGCTTCAGGACAGTTTTCCAGGTCGAGCACTCTCGCTCGGACATCATTTTGAAAGATATGTTGCCCACACAGATTGCCAATCAACTGCTAAATGGGGAACACATTGAGCCTTGTAAGTGCAATTTGTTTACTTTGTTCTTGTTGATGGAAAAAGCACCCTTTCTGGCACATGCAATGATTCAGGCGAGTACGAGGAGGCAACGGTGATGTTCTCGGATATTCCAAATTTCTCCTCAATCCTCCCGCAAACAAACCCGAAAGAGATCGTGCAATTGCTAAACGATTTGTTCACGCGTTTCGATCGATTGATCTCGTTTCATCAGGTTTCTAAAAAGCTTTCGAAAATAAAATTATCTGACAAGGTAAATGGCTTGCCAGCTAATTGCCTGCTGCCAGCTTATTGCCTGCTGCCAGCTAATTGCCTGCTGCCAGCTGACAGCTAATTGCCTGCTGCTAGCTGACAGCTAATTGCCTGCTGCCAGCTTATTGCCTGCTGCCAGCTGACAGCTTATTGCCTGCTGACAGCTGACAGCTAATTGCCTACTGCTGCCAGCTGCTGCCTGCTGCCTGCTGCCAGCTTATTGCCTGCTGACAGCTGACAGCTAATTGCCTACTGCTGCCAGCTGCTGCCTGCTGCCTGCTGCCAGCTTATTGCCTGCTGACAGCTGACAGCTAATTGCCTACTGCTGCCAGCTGCTGCCTGCTGCCTGCTGCCAGCTTATTGCCTGCTGGCTGACAGCTAATTGCCTACTGCCAGCCTATTGCCTGCTGCCAGCTTATTGCCTGCTGACAGCTTATCTATCTTACTGTAGCTATGACTTATCTTTTCAGGTCTACAAAGTGGAAACAGTTGGCGATAGCTATGTGACAGTTTGCGGGATTCCTGAGTTCATCCCGCAGCACTGCGAGTTCATTTGTCACACAGCGTTGGGTTGGTTTTGGAAAATGAGTTGTTCTAGAAGTGTTTTTCCGAAGCCAATTTAATCTAGGCAAGGCTAGAGCGAGAAACAAGATCCAAGTCAGACATGGAAACTTTGATCTGATCTATCTAACAAATCCTGGACCTGATTACCCCTGTTTAAAACGTTTTTCAAAAGATTCCTTAATAAGGAAAGTGTTGAAAACGTAGTGAAAGTCATTAATTAGAAGATTCAATGAGTTTTCTTTCAGGAATGATTTGGGAAGCTCGTTCAGTATTGGATCCGATCGCGAAAAGCCCATTGCAAATTCGAATCGGCATCCACTCGGGTCCGCTGGTCGCTGGGGTGGTTGGCTCGAAAATGCCGAGGTTTTATCTTATAGATCTTATCGATCTTATAGAAAAGTCTTCACTCAAAAATTTGAATAACTTTATTGAGACTTTATTGAGAACCTTTGATAGACTTGTGCATTGATTTTGACGCTTTTTTTCGATGAAAACAAGTGGCGTCTTTCCTTTTGGCAGTCACTAAAAATCAGCAATCCTTTGGGGAAAAAGGATTCTTGAAAAAAGGATTCTTGCTAGGATTCTTGCTAGAATTCTTGAAAAAAGGGATTCTTGCTTTCCATTTCAATCTTCTTTTGATTTGGAGGTATCAGTTGATGATGATTTTGTGGGTTTTGAGCAACTTTAACAGTACGACAATCATCAGCACGACAATCATCAATACGACAATCACCAACACGCCAATCACCAACACGACAATCATCAACACGACAAGCATCAACACAACAATCATCAACACAACAATCATCAACACAACAATCATCAACACAACAATCATCAACACAACAATCATCAACACAATCAATCACCAACACAACCAATCATCATTTTTCCATCAAACTACCAAAAAATGCGAGCCAGTTTCGGTGACGGGAAGATTCAATTTCGATTCCAATGCTAGCCCTTTTGAGTGGCTGGATGATAGCCAATATTTACTAAATCTCATTTCTAAAATCTTACAGTACTTTCATTCGATAATTTTTCAGATACAGTCTTTTCGGCGAGACGGTCACGATGGCATCGCGACTCGAAACGCACGGATTGCCCGGGAAAATTCATTGCAGCGATCGAGCGTTTAAGTACGAAAGATAATGTATTTTAAGATAATCATTCATAGAAATAGATATATATATATATAAATACAGGAAACTCTAGAAAATCTCGAAATTTAGATGCGCTAATGAAACAGGCCGTTTCGAGTTTCAGTCACGCGGTCGGATCACGATCAAGGGGAAAGGAGAGGTGAAGGGGAATTTAAATTGATTCCATTTATAGTAAAGGCTATGAAAAATCTATGTATCTGTCTGTCTATCTATCTATCTATCTAAGGATTAAATAAAATTTGAATTCTTTGATGATCATTTAGATGGATACCTATTTTCTTCTTCGGAGCAACAAGAAAAGTGTTTGGGAGATCGTGCACAGAGAGCGCGGTGAGTTTAATAACTGTTTAATAACTGTTTAATGACTGTTTAATAACTGCTTAATAACTGTTTAATAACTGTTTAATGACTGTTTAATGACTGTTTAATGACTGTTTAATGACTGACTGTTTAATGTCTGTTTAATGACAGTTTAATAACTGTTTAATAACTGTTTAATAACTGCTTAATAACTGTTTAATAACTGTTTAATAACTGTTCAATAACTGTTTAATAACTGTTTAATAACTGTTTAATAACTGTTCAATAACTGTTTAATGATTGTTTAATAACTGTTTAATGACTCAAAAAAGTGGATAAGCTAGAGTGATCTGTTGAAAAGTTCTTTTAAGACTTTTATTACGGTAAGCACTGTAGTTTTTCTACATTTTAGACGTGAATTTAAACAGCATTGATGGGTATGACGAGCTGGAGTCAGGCACCGAATTCGCCGACGTGAAAAAGGAGAATGAGGTGGGGTTTTCTGAAACTAGAATCATTTCTATTTGATTTCATCTATCCATTTTTCTCTGTTGATTATAAAAGTTCTCAATTTAGACGATGCGCCCTGTCAAAGAATCGAAAACATGCTCGATTCAATAAAAGAAATGATATCTAAGACAAAAAAGGAAATGATATCAAAGAAAAACCAAATTATTCAACAATTTTAAAGCGATTTTTTAAAAAATAAATGATTGATTAAAGTGAATGAACGAATGGATAAGGGTTGAATAAGGCTTAGGCTCAGACTCAGGCTAAGGCTCAGGCTCAGGCTCAGGCTCAGGCTCAGGCTCAGGCTCAGCTAGACACTTGTAGCTAAAGAAGCTAAACTATTGTAGCTTGCTGTAGCGTTTCTACAAGTTACTGTAACTCGAATTAAATTATAGCCTTACCGTCTGCCTTCTCACGATGAAAAGCACGATTTTCTTACTCCTTTCCTATTGCTATTTGACGTACAAAGGGTGAGCTCAGCTTTTAAAACTAAGTCTGAGCCTGAGCCTGAGCCTAAGCCTAAGCCTAAGCCTGAGCCTGAGTCTGAGCCTGAGTCTGAGCCTGAGTCTGAGGAATTCATTTCGCTAGATGGGTAGCGTTTACAATTAAGCAATACAAGTACAATACAATTACAATACAATTAAGCACAAAGTACAAAGAAAAACTCTATTTGTTCGTTATTTGTTCTTCTAATGAAAAAATCGAAACTTTTATTCTCACCACATGAATGCGATAAACAAAAGAATTAATGCGATATTTGCGGGAGAATTCGAGATCGGCGAGTGATTGCAGAGATCCGATTCACAGACGCAAACCGATGGGGAACCGGTGGTGCAAGAGCTGAAAAATAAAACGATAATTAGAGCATGAATCTATCTAGATTTTGTTAACATTTAAAGCCATATCTCTTTCTTTTTCAACTTACGGTTCAAGCGGGGCCACCCGTGAGAGCGACTTCTCGCATCCGCGCATTACAAAGTGCAGATCTGAAAGTGGAATGGATAGCTATTTGGGTATTGCTTAGCTATTTGGCTATTGTTGAGCTATTAAGGCATTCCAAGAGAATTCCAATACGGTTCCAATACGGTTCTTTTTTGATCCAATACGGTTCCAATACGTTTCTTTTTTTGATCCAATACGGTTCCAATAGAGACTAGATGCTGGGCTGATTTTTCTGCTTTCTAGCCTACAGTCTCCCGGGTCCAGAAGAAGCTAGACCAAAGTCTGACTTCAAACTTGATGCTAAATTGACCTTGCCTGATCTCCTGGCATTGTCTAGAGTCATGTTAAGAAGGGGTAAAAAGGGTTTTTTTTCACCTAGAACTCGTTCTGAGAAGAGTCTTTATAATTATCAATTCGAATAAGTCAAACTTTTCTCAAAAGCTTTCACGAGAACACATCGATCATCACCGCAATCGATTTGTTGAACGATTCGGAACTCGATATCATCCGAAAGAGCACACAGCTCGTGAGTGGGCGGAGGGTTGAAACTAGAAAATTGAGATGAGAGGGAGTTTTGAATTACGGTAATTTGTACGGTTAGAAAATGATTTAGTCGATTATTTACTTCGTATAGACGAGATTTTTCATCGCCTCTTTTGCGCTATCATCGATATCACTACTGAGCATCGAAGTACAGAAGTAACAACGCGTTGAGACGATCAGATGTGGCAGTGTGAAGAGGAAAAGAAAGACGTTGAAGAAAATGAGCATCGGATAGTTCTAAAAGGGAAATTTCATTCATTATCTCTCGATGTGCCAGAAAGGGTACGTTTTTACAACTCAAGGTACGATCGTAGGTCCGGTAAACGCTCGGCATTTGTTGCCCTGAAGCCCACATAGTAACGATAAGTGGCGTGTGCCATGGCTACCGTAACGCGGTTTTTAAAAAGCTAAGCGGTCTCCTACCGTAATCTTATCTCTAAAGGATTTCCCAGTTAGCGTAACCTAGAAAATTTGAGTTAACTCACCTTTTCACTCAGGACATCGGTAGATTTTCTGCTACATTGAGAGGAAAATGACCCTAAACAGTGAAAATCTATCAATTAGCTATAGATAAAAATGTAAAAATATCTATAAAATCAGAAATGAAATGAGAAAAATGACTCTAAACAGTGAAAATCTATCACTAGCTATAGGTAAAAACACGAAATACCTATAAAATAGAGAAATGAAATGAGAAAAATGACTCTAAACGTGAAAATCTATCACTGGCTATAGATAAAAACGCAAAAATATCTATAAAATAGAGAAATGAAATGAGAAAAATGACTCTAACCAGTGAAAATCTATCACTAGCTATAGATAAAAACGCAAAAATATCTATAAAATAAAAAAAATGAAAAGATTAGAGTTAAAACAAAACTGCAAAAACTGTACAGAACCGGTGAAAAGCCGGCCGCAGATAATTGGGGGTCAAAAAAAGAAAAGAGGCGCCCCTGGGAAAACTTTTGAGGGGAAACGCGTTTTCAAAGTGACAAGAAAAAAATACGTTTTAGTATTATTTTAAAGGAAAAATTTTAGCAGATAAATGTAAGCAAGCTGTAACATTTAGGAATTCAGTAGCATGGAATTTGAAATGACCCTAGTGAAGTGGGGAAAGGTTTTGGGGGAAATGAAATCGTGAAATGGGGGTGTCCGGGCAACCAACAACACTTAAGAAAAAGAGAAACACATTTTGGAAGAAAGGGAGGAAAACACTACCTTTTTGGGGGGGGAACGCTTTCGTTGTTTCACTGGTTTCAGCACAAAATCTTTATTTATATTAGACGTGTCATTACTTTATTGATTATGAAAAGTTAGGTAAACCTACCGTAAATACTGTAACAGTACCCACCTCGTACAGTCGCGTAGTCGCAGTTTTTAGTATTTCATTTTTTTCAAAGCGCCTGTACTTTCAAAAAATGCGTCTTTGGTATCAAAAAAAAGCCCTGAATTTCAGCTAATTTTTTGATAACTAAGCGCGCATTGTAGCATAAACCAGTGTCGAGAAAAACTCGTTCAAAGCTAGACTACGCATAAACTCCGCACCGTCATTATGGGGGTGGGGTACTATTACAGTATTTACGGTACGTTTACGACAAAATAAAAAAAGATAGCGCATCAAAATTAAGTATATAACCAAAATTTCAGAATAATCCGTTTAGCGGTTTTGCTCATTTTTCAATATTTTAAAAAATATCAGCTTTCTTTCTTGCAGATTATTCTAAAATACTAAAAATTGTTTTAAAAGAACAAAAAGTAAACAGTAAATATTTATAATGAAAGAAATTGTTTGATATTTAGGATTATCAGACATTTGATAACTGAACATTTGATAATTGGCATTAGTGCATTCGGTTTTTAGAGCTAAATAAATGTTTGATTATCAAATGTCCAATAACCGGTATTTGATAGTTTGAGACTCGTATCATTTAGATAATGAAATGAATGGTGCAAGATTTAGTACACAACCTAATAATCTTATGGTTTACGAAAAGAAAAAAAACAACGATATCTATTAAAAAAACAGTGTGCGCGAAGAGAAACACCAAATCCCGAAAGAACGAAAGCAAAACTCTAAACCTGAAAGGTCTAGAAGCTACAAACACAAGTTCTATCTAAAAAAATAAAAAAGAAATTTAGGGGGAGAGAGTGAGACGAAAAAGCGACGCAAATTCAATGCAAATAGGAACGTACTGTAGTCAAGCTGAGTATTTGTGGGTTTTCCTAAGAATTGACCCGATCAAGTGGCGGCTGTTTGAAGCTTTTCCCGATTTCACACGCACCAATAACAAGAGAAGAGATTGAAACTGGTAGAATGGAGCGATAATTGCTAATGGAGTTGGGGGAAGGCTGGGGTAGAGAAGGGTTTCCGGGCGCGGGAGAGACTCCAGGTGGATTATGAGAATTGAAATCATTGGGAGAAAGGACGGTTGATTGGTCAAGAGAAAATAGGGTATGTTTTGGGGTCGATTGCCGGGAAATGCTTGATGTTTTTTTAAAAGATGATGTTCTACCGCAATGCCGGTATCTTTTTGATCATTTCAAAAAGACACATGCTGTAGACCTGCTTAACGACTTCGGGCAAAATTTTCAAACAGTCTGCCTCGCTCTTCGATTTTTTACTGCCCAAAGCTTCTTCGAGCATGAAACCCAGTCCCCCCGCAAGCCCTTATTCTACGCTTCATTTTGATACTAAACATGGCTAGATTCTGTTTTGTCATTCTTTAGATTTCGATCAATCTTTCGCCGGATTCGATAAGCTTAACGAGTCCAGAAATATTTTTATCTAAAATGATCGAAATCTAAAGAATGACAAAACAGAACTTAGCCATATTTAGTATCAAAATGAAGCCTAGAATAAGGGCTTGCGGGGAAACTGGGTTTCATGCTCGATGGAGCTTTGAGCAGTAAAAAAATCGAAGAGCGAGGCAGACTGTCTGAAAATTTTGCCCGAACTCGTTAAGCAGGTCTACTTAGCGGGCAACGAGTATAATAGTACGATAGCTTTCTCTAAAGCGCATCTTTTAGAGAACTAACGTATGAAGTACTAACGTATGATACGTTCTAAACAGTGCTTCAAGCAAAAAGCTGTTATCATTAGCATAACAGCATGACTATGATAGCTTTTGACTGTAACTGTGCTGAATAGATTTTATTGACCGATTTAATAGTTATCAAACTAAACTTTTGAGGTTATTTTTACGATACGAACCTCTAAGCCTGAGGGATTTGTGCGGAAATTCGAATCAAAAAGCTTAAAGTGGAAGGCATGACGAAATAAGCATACGAAAGTAAAATTTGCATCAGGGGCTTAAAGTAAATTCATGGGAAACAATTTTTTTTATTTGAATCATCTTTTGCACAAATATGGATCCACAATGGTATTATGAGGTGGGATTTAATATTTTTTTTTATTGTTCTCGGCTCCAAGAACTTTCCGGTGCCTAATTTGTGTTTTCTCGTGCTTATAGACAGGATAAATTAGGGGAATAGGGCAAAAGGAATAGTTTTTATACCCGTGTTGTTCTTGTTCTTGTTCTTGTTCTTGTTTTTTCTTGTTTTTCTTGAAGTTCGGGTTGTTTATACATTGTTTATTCGTTTACTTTTTCAGCAACGATACCACCGCGAAGTGAGCCCAACGGCGGCCGGTGCTTCGGATCGACAAAGCAACAAAAAGAAGTCGAAATCGGTGAAGGTGAGTGCGTGTTGTTTATATTTTTTTAAAGAATCTTAAAGAAATAGAGATTTTAGCAATAGATTTAGCATGATCGTTACAAATTTTCATGGTACAATAGCAGATTTTTGACCAAGCTCCAGGCTAGGGTTGAGTTTTTGATTTCAACACAAAAAGCTAACAGTAATTAGAAAATTTACTACGTGACAGCCCTTTTGGTGCATAAAACATGTGCCAATACTTTAAAAGTAAAGATTTCATGCCTCTTAAGCTCAAATTGGATGAATTTTGAATAAAATGTTTTGTTTTGTTTGTTTTTTTTTGTTTTAGGCTTCATCTCATAGCGGTGGCTATTTTGTTTACCTTTATATGTCTAGATCTTTTACTCTTAAAAGCATCTTTTGGTAAAAAGTTTATTTTAGACTCCCGATCAAGGGAAAAACCAGAAATCAACAAAAAGCAGCGGCAAGGAACCCGAGAAGAAATCGTCAAAGGTTTGTTTTTTCGTTGAAGCTTTAAGTTAAAGTTAGCTCTAATGCTAAAATGGAATTCTTTAGTAAGATCTAGAAACTTAACAAAAGTATTTGTTTAGAGGCTAATACGTGCCGCGCAAAGCAGCCGCGAACCGCTGGAGAGAAGCAGTCGAGAGTCGGAAGATGCAAAAACAGAGAAGGTGGATTTGAATAAGTTTGAATTGTGCAACAACAGACTACGTTTAAATTTGTGGAGCTGTAATATTTTTCTCAAATGGAGCGGTAGAAGCTTTGTCTTTTTTTCTGCGTTTTTTTATCGAAAATCGTTAGCGGCACATCGAAAGAAGATCGAAAAGCCCAATTTTTTAAAAAGCGGGAAAAGATTGGTTTGCTGTGTAGCTTAGATTGTTTGGAAACTTGGTATTAGTTCCATTTTACGATTGATAATTTTTAGATAGCGCCCGACAATGCGCCGTCGACGACGCATACAACTGGGGAAGCCGGGCTGAAGCTGGCAGCAGCTATATATTTTCTGCAATGGCAGGTTGGGGATTGGCTAAATTGAGTTCCATAGCAATCTTGTTAGCTAATTCTTAGCATTGCTTTCTGACTCATAAAATTGTTGCGTTAGTTACACTTTATATTTTAGCAAACCGCTCTCCAAGCTTACACTCGCTCGATCAACGATCTCTACGTGAAACCGCTCATTGAACATGTTACTGGAAACAAGCTGAAATCCGGTGAATAGCTTAATTCTTATAGATTTATGACAGTAAACAATAGTTTTCATTGTTTATACTTTCACTTTAAATGGAACACTTGACTTCTCGGGAAAAGAACGTGAAGAATTGAAAGCCGGGCCGCAAGAAGAGGAGCTTACCGAGCATCAACGGTTGAAATTGCGACTACAAGGTTATTTAGGCACTTGATTCTTCGTACCGATGCTTGGTTTTTTAGAAGCAACGAATCGCAACTGGGACGACGATGGTCTTCATTCAAAGTAGATGTTTGGATACATATTTTTAATGGAATTTTTAGTGCCGGTGAGCAGAAAGCGACCCTGGTCGAGATGGCAGTGTTATATCGAATGAGGACGCTTGTTCAGGTACTTTATAGAATTAAATAGAAATAGAAAAAGAATTATCAACCAGCAAACTAAACAATGTTATCATTATTTATTGATTGATAAAGCTATTAATTTTCCAGATGTGCGGCTCCTTGCTCGAAATTGAGGCAAAGTTAAACAAGTGGTTGATGAAAAATATTCAGGTAAAGATGAGATTAGTATGGCTGAACGTTTGCATTTTTTAGAGTTTGGTCGCCCATTCTGCCTCATTGAACTTGTTGCCTTATGCGAGCTACGCTTTCGAGGCTACCTCGACTCTCAGCGAGGTCTTTCAACTCTCAATTGTGGATCGGGACAAGTGCAAGGTAGGTTTTTGGATGAACGTACTTTCACCATCTTGGATTCAGCCTGAATTTGCGCACTTTTTGAGAAAAACGGAAAAAGTGGACGATTACCCGAGCAATCAACAGATTAAAGTTGCTGCTTTTAGTCAAAATTTTGCATTTTTGTTTAGATTGACAAGGAGAATGTGCGCGGCTACATTCGAAAAGTGGAAGCACAGTGCAATTGCTTTAGGTGAGTAGTGTTTTACACAAATTCTTTGAACTTAATCTTTAGAGCTTGCGTCTATGTGATCGGTTCTTGTTTTGTGGCGACGATCCACTCGTTGCTTCGAGTGATTCCTCCGGAGAGAATCGACATTCGACCGAGAGAGGTAAAAGAAGGTTTTGCTGAAAAATTTATTTGAAGATCCTTGCAAAAGTTGTTTCTTAGGTTGAGGATGTGTTGAATCGTTTACCTTCTCCATTTCGTGATCCACCAGCGTTGCGTCTTTCCGCCTACTCGGCTGATCTGCTTTACGATGCACCACCATCTATCTGGCAGTACCCGCAACTACCACAAGGAAAACCGGTTCGTTTTGAAATTTCGATAAACCTTTTCTCTTATTGCTTCTTTTAGATGAATCCTGATCACCGTGCTGATTGGGATGCGTATTCGGAAGCATCGGTCAATGAAGAGGACGAGGATTTGGAAAGGTTGAAACACTTTTTGTGGTGAGATATTTTTAAATTATAGGAATGTGGAACCAAAAGTTCTGGAATCGCCTCGATCAACGAAGAAAGAGGAGAAATCACATCGGAAAGAGTTGGTTTTAGAGTAGTACTTACTACATGTTGTATAAATCATTTAAGCGGATTTCTCGATATATTAAAGTTTAACTACCCAATGATTTAAGAGCCTTTAATCATTTCAGGACTGTCGTACGTGAAGTGGATGAGAGTGCCAAGCAGAAGCACACGCAAACCGACAGAAATAAACCGAAAAAGGGAAAACCTTAATAATATGCTTCGATTCGTTAACTTAATAAATGAAGTGTAAGGGATAAATATGGAAATATGTTTAAAATAAAAAAGGGAATGAACTTTGGTTGAGTACTTGAGATAGCTGACTAACAATTCAAAATTGAGCTATGAATGGCGGAAACATGGTGGTAATTGCCAGCTATAAACGCCAGGAGCATTTCCAATTAGGCTATGGAGATTTTTCTCCTCTCACATTTTTTCTGCCGTTGTTGCCAGCAACACTCAAAACTCTTTGGTGGCACATTTGCAACAAATTTATTGTTTTGATCTGCGTGTGAATGAATCAGAAAGATCTACCGTATGCCTGCAATTGAACGCTGATAGTAAAGTGCTTCTCTAGTTCAGCATCTGATTTACCGTATTTTTCCTGTTAGAAAACTCTTTTAGATTTAACGTATAAGTAGTTTTCTAAAGCGTGCTGCAAAGGGTTTCGACGAGAGAAGCTGAATAGGATATTACCGTAAAAACTCTAATAGAACGGCCCCTATAGGAGCATCGCATAGTCCAAGTTTACTTTCAAACAAACGCTCATATCTCGACACCAGTACGCTTATTTCTGTGCGCTTGGGCATGAAATTAAAGTAGAGAGGATGGGTGGTTTTTTTTGAGATATAACACATTTCTAAAATCAACCAGCGCCTAGAAAAAAATGATTGAAAACTGGCAAAAAGGAGTCGATTTTTCATCATTTTTTCATCCTATCGACATGAATTTTAAAGAGAACTTGATAGTTTTGAGTTTATTGGAGTCCTGAGCAAAATTCTAACGAAATCAGATCAAATAAGTTTGATGTTAGGTAAAAGTCAAGAAAAATCAGGAATCAAGTGGCGCCTTTATTCTCGATCAATCAGAGATCAGAGTTTTCTTTCCAACAAGAATTGTTGCTATTGTTGTTTTTTGTGTTCAACATTCAACATTCACTCAACAACATTCAACAACAACATTAAACTATAGATCCTTTCTAACGCGTGAAGCGTTAGACGCAAGTAGAAAATTGTTGAGATTCCTTGAATCGAGAGCCTAGCAGCTACGCGCGCGTACGAAGCTCGTTCTTACTTCGTGCCGTTATGTCTCGATTCAAAAATAATTCCCAACTTGCTATTTCCGAATTTTGTTGTTTTGAGCGAAAAAACGTTGTTACATTGTTAAGAAATCCGGCCGCATCAAAAAAAAATTTTTGATTTTTATATAATTTATTTCTTATTTGCTTTGGATTTTATAGCTTTCTATATATATTTTTTGGAACTTGTCTCACAAAAACCAATTGTTATTCAATTGTTCAATTGAAAATTGAATTAGGAAATACAAGGTTTAAATTAAAGCATTTTTAACTTCATCGACATTCGTTTCAAGATACTCGACTGAATATGTCTATTAACGAAACGCCAAATGAATGTGATTTTTTGTGGTTCCGTGCTCCTTTAGTATTAGGCTGTCCAGAAAGGCTTTTCGTTCGTTTTCGTACTTTCGTTTAAAACTAACAAACGCACCAATTAAGCTACGGTTTGTTTCATTAGAAAAGTCAATTATTTTTCTGCAAAATAGCATTAAAGCGGGTTTAAAATGTCTTATGTCTGAATTTTTTTTGGGAGTCGGGTAGTCAAAAAGGGCGACGGCTCGATGATGCGGTTTAGACACTTTAGCTAAGGAAACCTATCTTTCGTGTCAATAGGTAAAAGATAGAGCACAAAAAGTTTGGTACATAGCCAAATTTTCAGAGAAATTGATTCAGCCAATTTCTTCTTAGAGGCTTTTATAGATTTTTACGAAAAACACGCTCTTTCACTCTCGAATTTGCTTGAAAGTGAACTCAAATTGACTTTAAAAGTTGGGAAATTGAACAATAAACACTTTATTTAGAGTAAACCATAGGTTAATTTTGGTAAATTTGTTATTTTTCGACGGAAGTGTGGCGAAAACGAAAAGATTTTCTGGACAGCCTAATACCTTTAGTTGAACTTTACGCTTTATTTAAATCTTTACGTTCAGAGATGTCGACAATATCGCGGACGGTCCATTTGCTGGTGATGGGACGATGCGCGCGATTCACCTCGTTGAGACGCCTCTCCGACATCGACTACTCGAAGGAGAAGCCCACGCCGTGGCAACTCGAGCATATTCAAACGAGGCTCATCGACACAACACCGCATTTCTTCCGACAACGAATCGACTACACTTTCTACCATCGAGATGTCGTGCTGGAGAATCAAATCATCGGGAGAACGATTCGAGGACGGGACATGATGATGCACCATTTTGGATTCTTCTCAGTAATGCTAAAGATGGCATGTCCGCATATTGGTGAGGTTTTAAAAGTATATCCATAGCTAATTCGTTCCACTAATACTAAACCTAGTTATTGAGATTTAGCTGTTAATAAAGTTCTTGAAATAAAAAGGTGGATTTTGACTTGAGTTTAGTCTACTTTATGAGTTATCAGCCTCCTAGATAGCTTTGAGATTAAATAACTATGATGCAAACTTTAGTAATTCTTATTTTTTAGAGATGGAATGCGTCGATTGTCATCCACAAATCGAGGACGGCACGGTGCGTCTGCGATGGAGGATCAAGTACGTGTCGTGGCTGCGATTGGCCTTCAACCCGCTGCTCTTTCGCTTCAACTACCGATTGAAGAACCTCAGCTGGTACGATGGATACTCGGTGCTGGATGTGGATGGAAATGGCGATGTTTACAAGATGACAGTCCAAAAGAGTCGCCGCGATGAAAGCTATCTGCTGAAAGGAGCCGAGAATTTAAAGAAAACTCTGGAGAAAGCAGTCGTCCCGAAGCCAGCCAGCACAGTCAACTCGACGAAAGACGAATCGCAGAAGAGATAATTTAGGCTTAGGATTATATAGAATCTTTAGGTTAGCTTTAATTTTTGGAAAAGTAGCTGTAAATATAGTGAGGTATAAGAATTTATTTTATTTTTGTGATTTTTGCTCCACAAATTTTCGCCTTTTGTGTTTTGTATAGACTTTGATCTCGTTTCTTTCACACTGGTCGATACTGTGTAGTCATATTTTAGTATGTGCCCTTTTTTTGTTATCGCTTCTTTTCCTTTTTTGCATTGCTCAATCAAGAGTTTATTGAGTAAATTTTAGGTATTCAAACGTGAGTCTGAAAAATGGCCGACGAGATCGCCAGAAATCAGCAGTATGAGTACAGACAGGTTTGTGATACTTTTGAAGCCGTAAAGTTAAACATACTCTCGTGAAAGCAAAGCATACCTAACATTGCTTGTTTAGAATTCCAATCTTGTACTCCAAGTCGACTACTCCTTGACGGATCGGAGGGGACGAGATGAGGCCACCGGAGAGGTGATGGCGTTGAGTGATCGATCGTTACGAGGTAGCTAGTTTGGTGTTTTCAACTTATTTCTTTTTTCAGGAACAAAGATGGGAGACAAATATCTACGACAACGTGCACCGAAAGAGGAAAAGAAACATAAAAAGTATGTTTATTTGTGCTAGATTTTAAATGTTTTACTTTAGGAAAAAGGAAGAAGAAAAACCTTCTCGTGGTGGAGCAACGAAGGCTTCTCTTTTGTCGGACACACACGACGAAATGATGGGGTCCTATCGACCACGAACACAGGAAACGAGGCAAACGTACGAAGTGATTCTTGATTTCATTCAAGACGCTCTAGGAGATCAGGTATAGTAACTTTTATGTAAAGACAGTCTATTAAAACACTAGTGAAACTCAATTTAATTTTTAGCCACGCGCAGTTTACTGCGGTGCCGCCGAAGAGGTGCTCAGTGTGTTGAAGTCGGAAAAGATTCGAGAGCAAAACAAGAAGAAAGAAGTAGTGTTATTTACTTGGTTTCGCTTAGCAATTTCATTTTAGGTGGAGGCTTTCCTGGGCCCTCTATCTGATGAGCGAACAGCACTATTGATCAACTTGGCTCGCAAGATCACCGATTTCTCAATTGATGAGGAAAACCAAGAACAGGTAGATTGATTATGTCGTGAATTTCTCTACGATTCATTTAGGATGAGATTGATGAAAGCGAGGGCGTGAACGTGCATTTTGACTCTGAGGAAGAGCAAGATGATATGGCGGATGAAATTAGACGTAAGCAACGCGATATAAAGCTTTTTAGATAGATGCGTATTTTCAGGTGACGATGAGCAAAGTGATACGGATGAAGATGGGCAAGAAGCTGAGTACTCGGAGACGCTCAAAGCCAGAGAAGGAATCGATGCTGAAGAGGAGGTAAAAGTTTAAAAGAATCGTTGAAGTTTAAACAAGGCTAACTTTTCGCATTTAAGGAGGGCCGTCGGCGCCGTGGCGAACTTCATGCACGTGACATTGACGCCCACTGGATTCAACGATCACTCGGCAAATACTTTGACGACCCGATTATTGCTAACGAGAAAGTCAAAGATGTTATTTCGATTCTGCGAGTAAGATTACATGCTTAAGTTTAGCTAAATGTTCGTTTTAGGATGCTCCTGATGACAGAAAGTGCGAAAATGACCTCGTGTTACTGCTTGGCTTCGAAGCTTTTGAGTTCATCCGTAAGTTGCGCTCTCAACGTCATTTGATTCTCTGGTGCACCCTCTTGAAGCAGGCTTCTCCGGAAGAAAGGTATGTGATTAGAGCTTTATGGGAAAGTAATCTAAAATTTAGACCATTGCTCGAAGAAAAGATGCGAGCTGACCCTGAGCTACACTATATTATTGGACAATTGGAAGAAACTGATGCAAATATTGTGGAAACGGAGCGGGAAAAGAGATCGAAAGCTTCGACAAAGAGAGCCAATGAGGCTGCTGCGGAAGATGCGGTGATGGCAGGTAAAAATGGCGTTCGTAACGATAAGCAGGACTACTTGTGATGTAGTAAACATTATCCGGTTTATTTCAAATCCAAAAAACAGTTGTTTAGGAACCTGGATGAACCAGCGCAAACAATTGGACCTTGATGAGCTGACTTTCCACCAAGGAAGTCATTTGATGAGCAATAAAAGGTAACTTTTTACGCTTAAAAGCTAATAAATTTTGTTCTAGTTGTACTCTCCCAGCTGGCTCATTCCGTCAACAAAAGAAGAGTTACGAGGAAGTTTGTGTGCCTGCGTTAAAACCAAAGCCTTTTGATCCAAACGAAGTAAGAGTTTTTTCTAAGTTAATTTAACTAAACGTTTAGAAACTTGTTGCCATCACGGACTTGCCGGAATTCGCACAGAAGGCTTTTGAGGGATACAAATCGTTGAATAGGATCCAGTCGAGACTTTGCAAGTCGGCGCTTGAAACGGATGAACACTTGTTGCTTTGTGCTCCAACGGTTTGTTTTTAGAAGCAAGGGGATTCGTATATGAAATTTAGGGAGCTGGTAAGACAAATGTTGCTGTTTTGACGATTCTCCGAGAAGTTGGAAAACATTTGAACGAAGATGGAAGTGTTCGGTTTGTTTCATTTTTTCATATGTATCCAACTATTTTTTTAGGCTGGATGAATTCAAGTGCATCTACGTGGCCCCAATGAAGTCGTTGGTACAAGAGATGGTCGGCAGCTTCACAAAACGTTTAGAGCCATACGGAATTACGGTATTTGCAGTAACTTCTTGACTTTTATGGGTGTTTTCTTTAGGTTGGTGAAATGACTGGAGACGCCCAGATGAACAAGGAGCAATTCATGGCAACCCAAGTGATCGTTTGCACGCCAGAGAAATACGATATTGTGACAAGAAAAGGTAAAATAAAACTTTTTGGCTCTTACTTAGTTTCCGGGTATTTTGAACCGGTCATCACACTTTGAAGGCATATAACTTTGTCCAGAGATCATATTTTTGTTAACTTTTTATATGTACAGAAGAAATTTCGGGCTTTCAAATGATACCAAATAGAGATTGATTGGATAATCCAGTCGAAGAAAATCAGACCCAACTCTGAGTTAACAAAAATATGATCTCTGGACAAAGTTATATGCCTTCAAAGTGTGACGACCCATTCAAAATATCCGGAAACTACACAAGAGCCTTTTTTTACTGATGCTTGTTTTTAGGCGGAGAAAGAGCGTACAACCAAATGGTTAAGTTGTTGATTCTTGACGAAATCCATTTGTTACACGACGACCGTGGACCAGTGCTTGAAGCTTTGGTAGTGAGGTAAAACAACTCTTCGCTCCATTTGGAAAGTTTTATTTTTCAGGACTTTGCGTCAAATGGAGCAGAATCGAGATGAGGTTCGTCTTGTGGGACTCTCAGCCACGTTGCCTAACTACACCGACGTTGCGCACTTCCTTCGTGTGAACAAGGAACACATCTACCACTTCGATAACAGTTATCGCCCGGTACCACTGGAACAACTATACATTGGAATCACGGAGAAGAAAGCTTTGAAACGGTTTCAGGTTTGTTTTAGTAACATGTTTGAGATAGTTTTGACTTATTGATTTTAGGCAATGAACGATGTTGTCTACGAGAAAATCATGGAACTTGCAGGCAAAAGTCAAGTGCTTGTGTTTGTACACTCAAGGTAACTTTCTCCTAAAATCATCAAATCATTTGCTGTTTAGGAAGGAGACTGCAAAAACCGCCAAAGCTATTCGTGATGCTTGCCTCGAGAAGGATACACTCTCGTTGTTCATGAAAGAAGGCTCGGCGTCAACGGAGATTCTGCGAACTGAAGCTGAAAACGTAACTAGGCTTGGATATTGGATAAAGTAACTAATATTTCAGGTGAAAAACACTGACCTCAAGGATCTTCTCCCATACGGATTCGCCATTCACCACGCTGGAATGACTCGAGTCGACAGGACACTTGTAGAGGATTTGTTTGCTGATCGGCATTTGCAGGTATATCAATTTGAATGGTTTGGTATAATTTTATCGTTCAGGTGCTTATTTCGACGGCCACTCTTGCTTGGGGAGTCAACTTGCCTGTACGTTACCCTTTAGAATTTTATATTATCCAAAATGGAAAATTCTGTACACAATGTTATAAATTATAGGCCAACACTGTCATCATCAAGGGTACGCAGATCTACAACCCGGAAAAGGGACGCTGGACTGAACTTGGAGCGTTGGATGTATTGCAGGTATATCAGGATCTGATGCATATAACTCTGGGGGAGCAAAAGTTTTTTAAATTTTATGGCCGCAACGTCCAGTTGTAAATCCGGTTGCTTATGGGATGAAAAGTAAAAGTGTCCCCAGAGTAACAGCTTTTTTAATACCAGGCAAAATATCCATTTCAACCTTTAGATGCTTGGACGTGCCGGGCGGCCTCAGTTCGATTCGAAGGGCAAAGGTATCCTGATCACGCATCACTCTGAATTGCAATACTATCTATCGTTGATGAATCAACAGGTAGATTTTTGATTAACTACCGGTCTAATTAATTTTAGCTGCCCGTTGAATCGCAAATGATCTCGAAGTTGACGGACATGTTGAACGCTGAGATTGTTCTCGGCACAATCAATAATGCTGCTGATGCGGTCACTTGGATCAAGTACACGTTCCTCTATGTGCGGATGGTGAAGAACCCGAAGTTGTACGAGATAAATGCTGAACCTGGAGTAAAATCTTAAGTTTGATAATATATAAAGTAAATTTAGAGGGAAGACGAGGCTTTGGAGCAAAGATGTGCTGACCTGGTGCACACGGCTTGTGTACAACTCGACAAGGGAAGTCTCATCAAATACGATAAAAAAGACTGGCGCCATTCAGGTACGTTCTTATAAGTCTGTTTGTAATGCTTCTTATGCAAATTTTTAGCCCACTGAACTTGGACGCATTGCTTCACACTACTACTGTACTTTTGACTCGATGCAGACTTACAATTCATTGCTCAAGCCAACTGCCACCGAAATCGATCTTTTCAGGTATTGAGAGTATAGTTTAAATGGAAAATTACTTTTTCTTTTAGAATCTTCTCGTTGTCTTCGGAATTCAAGCTGATCGCTGTTCGCGAAGAAGAGAAACTGGAGTTGCAAAAAGTTGGCCGAACATGTCCCGATTCCGATCAAAGAAAGCTTGGAGGAGACATCAGCAAAGACAAACGTTTTGCTGCAGGTTTTGTAACTTTAAAAGCCATTTGTACTTCTTGTTTAGGCTTACATCTCTCAACTGAAACTTGATGGATTCGCACTTCAATCGGACATGGTTTATGTGGCTCAATCAGCTGGTCGCCTGTTTCGAGCGATTTTCGAGATTGTTTTGTGGAGAGGCTGGGCTCAACTTGCGCAGGTAGCAAACAACTTGAATCTGTTTAAAATGTTAGCCTTTCAGAAAATTCTCGGATTGTGCAAAATGGTCAATCAACGCCAGTGGCAATCACTCAACCCACTGCATCAATTCAAGAAGATCCCATCGGAAGTGGTTCGCAGCATCGACAAGAAGAACTACTCGTTTGATCGGTTTGCTTGGTTTAGTCTTTCAATTAGTAAGTTATTGTTTAGTCTCTACGATTTGGATCAAGTGCAGTTGGGCGAATTAATCAAGATGCCAAAAATGGGTCGGCCCCTCTACAAATTCATTCGACAGGTGCGTATTATTGAGTTATTTTGTGTACATTTTTCAAATTTAGATCCCAAAGCTTGAGATGACCACCCTCATCCAGCCAGTCACACGATCGACACTTAAGATTGAGCTCACGATTACGCCGGATTTCGTTTGGGATGAAAAAGTTCACGGAAACGCCGAAGGATTCTGGATTTTCATTGAAGATGTCGACGGCGAAACTATTCTGCATCATGAGTATTTCTTGTTGAAACAGTAGGTTTTACAACCTTTGAACTTTTTGAACAGTTGTTTGAAATGGAATTGATAACTTTGATTTTAGAAAATTCTGCGGCGATGAGCACTTGGTGAAGATGTATGTGCCGGTATTTGATCCACTTCCACCACTCTACTTCGTGCGCATTGTTAGTGACAAATGGCTTGGCTCGGAAACGGTAGGCTTTTCTTTGAAATTTGACGATTTTATTCTTTTAGGTCTTGCCCATATCATTCCGTCACCTCATTTTGCCCGAGAAGTACCCACCACCCACCGAACTTCTCGATTTGCAGCCACTCTCGATCTCGAATCTCAGCAATCCACTCTTCGAGCAAGTCTTCCAAGAGAAGAAAATCAGCACCTTCAACCCCATTCAAACACAAAGTTTGTTTTATTCTTTGTTCGATCCAAAGAAACTTTTAGTATTCCGTACTGTTTTCGAGGGAAAAGACAATGTGCTCATTTGTGCTCCGCAAGGATCTGGAAAGACGGCTTGTGCCGAATTGGCCATTTTGAGGTATCAGTTTTTGAACAGTAAGTAATTTATTTAAAACGCTTTTAGACACTTCGAAAACTCACCGGATGCTCGTGTTGTTTATGTTGTACCGAATGAAGATCTGGCAACGAAGCTTTATGAGGATTGGTCAAATAGACTCGGAAAACTTTTGGAAAAGACTGTGGTCATGTTGACTGGAGAACCAACGCTTGATCAGAAGCTACTGGCTAAAGGTGGCTACCATTATATTTTACTTTATAACTTACTTTCTTTTTAGGATGGTTGATTGTGTCAATTCCGGAGCATTGGGATGCAGTCTCTCGACGTTGGAAGCAACGTAAAGCTGTGCAAAACGTGCGACTCTTCATTGTCGATGATTTGCACATGATTGGTGGAACAAATGGGGTTTGTGATTGTTTTATTGAGTTTTAATAACTAGTTACTTTAGCCTGTCATGGAAGTTGTGTGCTCGAGAATGCGTTACATGGCCTCACAAATGGACGCTCAATTGAGAATCATCGGCCTATCTTCATCACTGGCCAATGCAAAGGATATTGGTAAGTTTAACATAGCTCTTAAACAATTTGCAATCTCCAATATTTAGGTGCCTGGCTTGGATGTCCTACTGGATCAGTTTTCAATTTTCCTCCCAGCTGTCGTCCTCTACCACTTGAGATTTATCTTCAGGTAAGTAGTGATTTGTTAAATATGTTATAGACAGCATTAATTTAGGGTTACAACTTGTCACATAATGCTTCTCGTCTTGCTGCGATGGTGCGACCAGTCTACACAGCGGTGTCACGACATGGAGGAAAATTGCGCCCAAAGCCGGCTCTCATTTTTGTGCCCGGGCGACAACAAACTCATGCAACTGCTTTGGATTTGATCACTATGGCCCATGGAGATAACTCACCACAAAGGTAGTTTAATTTTTTTTAATTCTTTAAAATTCTTTTCAGGTTCTTGCACATTTCCGAACATGACAGTGACTTCAGGAAAATTGTGGAGAATATTCAGGTACTTGAACTTTAGAAAATGTTTACAGTTGAACTTACTCAAAACGAATTTTTTTAGGACAAGGCACTTCGTGAGACGTTGTTGAGCGGTGTCGGATTTGTGCATGAAGGAACTTCGCCAAAGGACGTACTCGCCGTTCAAGCTTTATTCAATTCGGGAGCTATTCAGGTAGGGAAGTTGAGAAAATAGCATAATAATGTCAAATCTAGGTGTGCATTGTGCCACGAACGATGTGCTATCAAATCAACATGCAAGCCTATGTCGTGATCATTATGGACACACAATTTTACAATGGTCGTTATCACGTTTACGAGGATTATCCAATCGCTGATGTGCTTCATATGGTTGGATTAGCAAATCGCCCTGATAAAGATCAAGACGGTAAAGAATTTTATAAAAATAAGCAATGTTTTCTATTTTAGCCAAATGTGTTCTCATGTGTCAGTCGTCGAAGCGTGATTTCTTCAAGAAATTCTTATTTGAACCGTTGCCAGTCGAAAGCCATTTGGATCATCAACTTCATGACCACTTCAACGCCGAAATTGTCACTAAAGTCATCGAGAATAAACAGGATGCCATTGATGTGGGTGTCGTTTTTGAAAGCTTAAATTGTGTTCGTTTTAGTATCTCACTTGGACGTTCCTCTATCGCCGAATGACGCAAAATCCAAACTACTACAACTTGCAAGGTGTCACCCATCGACACTTGTCTGATGCGCTTTCAGAATTGGTGGAGAATACGCTAAAGGTACGGTTGATTTGGGTTTTGTAAAGCTAATAAATGTCTTTTTAGGATCTTGAGAATTCAAAATGTATTGCGGTGAAAGATGAAATTGATACGGTGCCTCTGAACTTGGGAATGATTGCTGCATATTATTATATCTCATACACAACACTTGGTCAGTTTACTAGCAGAAATATCATAACAAGTACGATAATCATTGCTATTTTAGAACTCTTCTCCTTGTCCCTGCAGCCAAAGACAAAAATGCGAGCATTGTTGGAGATCCTCTCGTCGGCGCACGAGTTTTCCGAGATCCCGATGCGTCATCGTGAAGATTTGGTTAGTGATGCTTAATGGCTTACCTACAATTTGATCTTTAGATCTTGAAACAACTTGCCTCTCGTCTACCAAATCAATTGAAGAATCAGAAATTCACTGATCCGTCCGTCAAGGTATGGCAGGTTTATGAACTTTTTTTAAATCTGGTTTAAAGGTATGCCTCCTCTTGCACGCTCATCTATCAAGAATAAAACTCTCTGCCGAACTCAACAAAGATACGGAACAGGTATTGTTGCATTTTCTTGTTAACACCATGCCGATCGTTTAGATTGTCCTGAAAGCGGTGCGATTGGCTCAGGCGTGCGTTGATGTGTTGAGTAGCAACGGATGGTTGTCGGCGGCTATTCATGCAATGGAATGCTGCCAAATGTTGACACAGGCAATGTACTCATCGGAAAGTTATCTTCGGCAACTACCCCACGCCTCGGCGTCGCTTATTGAGAGAGCTAAAGAAAAGGTAAACACTTTTAATAAGAATTCGATCAATGTTTCAAATTTAGAAAGTGGAGACAATCTTCCAACTTCTCGAGATCGAAGATGATGATGAGCGAAACGAGATTTTGGGAATGGATACAGCAATGCTTTCGGATGTTGCTCGTTTCTGTAACAACTACCCGGCAATCGAGATTGAACATTCGGCTGTGAAGAGGTAATTGCCTTCTTTTTGTGAAAGATCTTACGATGATCCGGATTCTTTTGTGATTGCTTACAATATACGATTAATTTAGTGGTGAGCAAGTGACGATCAACGTTTCGTTGGAAAGAGAAAATGTAGATGAAAATGGATTGGCTCCAAAGGTTCGTTAATTTGTCACAAGGTTACCCAATGCTAAATTCTAGGTGATCTGCCCGTTGTTCCCACAAAAGCGCAAAGAAGAGGGTTGGTGGTTGATTGTCGGCGATGATTCGGACAACAATGAGCTTCTCTCCATCAAACGGTGAGTTGAAGTTGTTTTCAATGTAACTGTATTTGACTTCCGTTGATGTTAAAATTTTAGGTTGACTGTCAATGAAAAGGCGACAGCTCAACTCGAGTTCACGGTGAAATCGTTGTCGAAACGCAACCTGAAGCTCTTCTTCATCTCGGACTCGTACTTGGGCGCTGATCAGGAGTTTGAAATCGATCTCAAAGCTGATGGTTAGTGTTTAGCATTTATATTATGAAATTAAAACGATATTAGTGGTGGTGGGGACAGTATAAATGCGATCCAAAGTGTATATTCTCTTTTTCAGAAGGTCGTGCCCGTAAGCGCAGACGTGAGGACGACTAATCTCCCGATCCACAAATGGCTTTGAAAAATTTCCCACATTTTCTCCATATTTATTGATTTGTTGTGATTTGTACGTTTTTTCTTCTATCTTTTGTTACTTTGTTAGTTAATTATCTTATTAATTTAAAAGGGAAAAGCGACTGAACTTTTTCTCTTTGTTATTGTTGTCGGTTCCGCCCTGCGATTTTCTCCTCTTCACGGTCTCCACAAAAACATTGTTCATAGCGGTTTTTCTTTTTATTCAATTTCCTGAAAGGTTTTGTTAGAAATAAATGTCAGTCAATAAGTAAAAGTAAAAAATACGGTTTAAACTATTCAGGGATGAAAGATTTTGAGAAAAACAAGGAGTGACTTACAATTGAAACTTTTGTGAGTAAATTTGCCAAAACTGAAGTTTGGCGGGTCATGTCGTCGTGAATGTGTTAAAGTTTAAAAATTAATAGATAGTTAAAGCTTATAGATTTTCAAAATTTCTGCTTTAATTCACGTGGCCTCAAATCACCGCGTTTTTTGGCGAACACCGCGGCCCTTAGTTTCCAACTCCCCCAAACTACCGAAGAGCCTGTGAATTTAGTCTCGAAACGGTGGCCTTCGTTTTGGGCCGCAAAAACAAAGTTGGAGCTTCAGGCATCTCCAGATCAACGCCTTTTGTGTCTATGTGTGGGTGTGAATGTTATGCTTGTGGTATGCAAACAGTGAAAGAAACTTGTTCCCCCTTTTCTCTTTCTACTTGTTTTTTTTCCCCTTCCTCTCACCACATTCACTTATCCGATCTCGTCTTTGTGCCATCTGTGTGAAAGGATTGTGAAAGTGTTTGAAAATCTCTGTGCGTAAAGAAACGAATATGGAGAACACACTTGGAAAGATCAAGATAGTTTCAATTTGAACAAATCATATATCTCGAAATTTCTGTGCTTCTTAAAAGTTTTTCGTTTCCTCATGTTGACTGCTTGCAAAAATAGATTTCGTTGACCTTAGAGTTGCTTAGGGTTGCTTAGAGTTATCACAAAGCGTTTGGCTTAGAGTTGCTTAGAGTTACTTTGTCTTATCACAAAGTGTTGACCTTAGAGTTGCTTTGTCTTATCATCAAGTATTGGGCTTAGAGTGGCTTAGAGTTGCTTAGAGTTGCTTTCTGTTATGACAAAGCGTTGGGCTTAGAGTTGCTTAGAGTTACTTTGTCTTATCACAAACTGCTGAACTTAGAGTCGCTTTGACCTACTTTGTGTTATCATCACCTACTAAAATGTGCCCGACCAAAATGGCACGATTTTTATCCAGAATCTATCAACTTTTTCGATCTTTCGATATCCTTTTTGAATCAGCGTAGAATTAGAGTCAAAATGTCGATAGATTTGATGTAAATAGAGACACGATTTCCCCAACAATGTTACCCTATCAAACGTCCATAGGGGTGCAAAGTATTTCGACTATAACTTTTCATAGATTTATCCGATTTGAATGATTTTAATGTCAATCAATAGGAAATTTTCTTTCGCGTCGATTGACATGAAAAATATGCAAATTGGAGAAATCTATGAAAAGTTATAGTCAAAAGTGTTATGGACGATCGGGGGGAAATGATCATTTTGCCTAAATCATTTTACCCAAATTTTATGAATGCTTATTTCTAACTGTAAATTTCGATTTTATGCCAGTTGATATGGAAATCATTTGATGCTAAATTTGATACTAAATTTGGTACTCTTTTCACTGATTAGGTTAGCTAAACGAAACAAAAAACAAAAAAAAAACACTTATCGAGCGATCAGTGAAGCAGATCGAATGCCTCGTGGTGTAATGGTTAGCACAGTTACCAAGTTAGCCGGTCACCGGTAAAGGTCACCGGTTCAAGTCTCGGCGGCAGACAAGTTTTTGATCTGCCCTAGTTCTGGCAGTTAACTCCCTCTAGATAAATGGAGATCAAGTGCCTCGTGGTGTAATGGCTAGCACAGTTACCTGGTAAGCGATAGGTTGCCGGTTCGAGTCTCTGCGGCAGACAACTTTTTGATCTGCCCTAGTTTTGACTGGTATTTAACTCCCTCTAGAGGAAGGGAGAACGAATGCCTCGTGGTGTAATGGTTAGTACAGTTACCTGGTAAGCGATAGGTCACCGATCCTAGTTCCGGCTGGGCGCAAGCTTTTGATTTGTCTTAGTTCCAACTCTAATGCGCTAATGTTAAAGCTAATTTGTAATGATTGAATTGAATGCAATGATTTAAACAAATGGAAAGAATCAAAACGTCATTAAGTACTAAATGACTTTCAATTAGGATTTAAGAACTTGGGGAAATGATTTGAGGGAAATGATTGGCTGTACTTTTCTCGTTTTTGGGTTTTGTACGTTTGACTACGTTTGACGTACGTTTGACGTACGTTTGACGTACGTTTGACTAGTCGTTTGACTTCTCGGTTTTTACGCTCATTTGAAGATCAATGATATCCGACGAAAAAAGGAGATTCTTGGGGAAATGGGGATGAAGAAATGAAATGTGCGAAACCGGCTTTTGTTCTTTTTTTTTTTCTTTTCCGAGTGCCCATGCTCCTTTTTGAGGGAAAATGAGATCCTGACAAATCCGGCTTTTCTTTTTGAGGAAATTTCCTTTCTTCTTCTTCTTTCTATTTCTCTTTCTTCCTTTTCTTTCTTCTTCTTTCTCTTTCTCTTCTTTCTCTTCTTCTTCTTTCTCTTCTTCTTTCTTCTTTCTCTTCTTTCTTCCCTTTCTTCTTCTTCTTCTTTCTCTTTCTTTTCTCTTCTCTTCCAGACTTTCGATTGATTTGCTGAGATTTTTTCGTGTCCATTTAAAGAAAATCAATAGCTTTTGAGTTTTCTATTGATTTTTTTGCCTCTTAAACGTTTTCTTATTTCCAATTACCGTAATCTAATCATCAATTTTCTTTAACCAAAATCTTCTAACGATTTTAGTGATTCTAGCTGCATCGAATTCGACCAAAAACAAAGCCAAAGCCAAAACCAAACCAAAACCAAACGAAAATCGAAAACTGATACTGCAATTACGTTAGTTTTACTTTCGATGATACTCTCGCCTGCCGGGATTGGTGTGCTTGGGGCGGGGATTGGGGGGGGGGCTAGTTTAGTTTACTTTACTAGCTCCCTCTGAAATCGATCTCTTATAGATGAAAACGATCTTTTATAGAATATTATTCTTTTGATTGAAATTCTTTCGTTTAAAAAGTACATTTTTAGAGATAAATCTATGATCGAGTGAATTCAAAGTGAATCTATTGAAAAAAAACCTTTTCACAAATCACGATTCAAATTGCATAAATGCAATTTTTTATGCGTCAACTACTCGTTTCAACGACGCTCCTAATCTCGATTGGTTTGTTGTTTTTCTTGAAAGAAGTTCTGTAGAGATTTGCTGAATAGAAACTTGAGCTTCAATAACAGTACACACCGTAAATACTGTAATAGTACCCACCTCGTACAGTCGCGTAGTCACAGTTTTTAGTTTTTCATTTTTTTTTAAAGCGCCCGTACTTTCAAAAAATGCGTCTTTGGTATCAAAAAATAGCCCTGAATTTCAGCTATTTTTTGATACCAAAACGAGCATTGTAGCATAAACCAGTGTCGAGAAAAACTCATTCAAAGCTAGACTACGCAACGCTCCGCACCGTCATTATGGGGTTGCGGTACTATTACAGTATTTACGATAAGCTATTTAACAGTAAAGATAGATGAACTGAAACGCGAAACATTTCAGTCTTCTCGTTCACATTGGACTGTGATTTCCGTCGTGAATGCTGTTGGCGAAGCGCTGAAGGGGAAGGCGTTTGGGAGACAAGGAAAACCATCTCAACCAACGAGTTTCGACGCACGTTTCTCGTCGGCAAAAGTCGACACCACCAGGTAAACGACTAATTCACCCCACGACGCGATAGCGGTCATGGTCAAGTGGCTAAGAGCATTGTTTCATAGTCGGGGGTCGGGGGTCGAGTCAGGGGTTCGATTCCGGACAGACCCAGCCAAGAAAGTTCATCAACTTTCTTCATTCTTTTTACAATCTCTGGGCTTTCTTCCTCTTCCTTTCTTCATCTTCCTTTCATTTACAAACAAAATTTGACTTTATAATCGTTGTTTCTACAGTAATCTGGACTTGCCTAATTCGTAATTGAAGCTTAGAAAGAGATCCATCAGGAATGAATTTGATGACCAGGAATGAATTTGATGAGAAAGAGATCCATCAGGGATGAATTTACCTTGTAATCTCTTTCCAGATGGCCCTTACGTGATGCGGGTGGAAACAGGGGCGCAAGAGGGCGGCTCTTCTTTCATGTCGTGTCCATTTTGCTCAACATCGCCGGTGATCGTCAGATATCGGTATTTCGAAATGCTCTATTAGATTTCCCATCGCTTAAAGCATCAGAATTTCTACAGGATTTGCTAAAGAAATAGATCCGTAAAAGTCAACGCTGAGAACGAACCGCTAAAAAGAAAAGAGCACCGATCCTAGAGGGTTTGCTGGAGCTGTTTCTTTAAAAGAACTTCAAAAGAGCTTACAGAAACGGTCTAGACCTTTCGATTTGATTTACTAAGAGTTACAGTGGTTTAAAAAAAAATGCTTTTTTATTTTAGTCGATCTAAATCTAGAGTCAAAAAAGGTTTTTCCGGATTTATTTCCGATCGGCACTTGGTCAAGAAAGAAGTTGTACGCAAATTTATAGCTTTTAGATAAAGCTTTAGATAAAGATTTAGCTCTAGATTTTGATGTAGAGTTTAAATTTAGATATTTAGCTTCATAAGTACGCGGGGCCCAGAAAGGGAAGGGTCTGTGGTCGACCCCGTCCGATCTGCCAAGTTGAGCAACGTCGGCGCGGGTTAGTCGTGGGTTCGACTCCCATGGGTTCCCCTCCGAGCGCCCCAGCCCGGCCATCGGAGTGCCTCAGTAAATGTGGAAGCGGGTTGTGATCTGCGCTAAGTGCGAAGACCAATCCAATCAAGCTAAACTAGATTTCTCTAAAATCTCGAATCTCGAATATCC